CTGCCTCAGCCTCCTGAGTAGCTGAGACTACAGGCATGTGTCACCATGCTTGGCTAATTTTTTCTATATATATTAGTTGGCCAATTAATTTCTTTCTATTTATAGTAGAGACGGGGGTTCACTCTTGCTCAGGCTGGTTTCGAACTCCTGACCTCCAGCAAATCTGCCCGCCTCGGCCTCCCAGAGAGCTAGGATTATAGGCATGAGTCACCATGCCCAGCCAAAACCCCTTACCCTTTTTAGGAATTAAAACCTGCATTCTGGCTGGGCGGTGGTGGCTAAGGCCTGTAATCCTAGCACTCTAGGAGGCCGAGGCGGGCGGATTGCTCCAGGTTAGGAGTTCGAAACCAGCCTAGCAAGAGCGAGACCCCTCGTCTCTACTATAAAACAGAAAAGAATTAATTGGCAACAATACAGATAGACAAAATTAGCCGGCATGGTGGCACATGCCTGTAGTCCAGCTACTCAGGAGCTGACAGAGGATTGCTTGAGCCAGGAGTTTGAGGTTGCTGTGAGCTAGGCTGACGCCAGGGCACTCACTCTAGCCTGGGCAACAAAGCGGGACTCTGTCTCAAAAAAATAAAATAAAATAAATAAAAAATTAATTCATAAAAGTGAAATCTTGTGGTGCTGATTTCAGACAAATGGGACAACATATTTCATTATTTAATCAAGTAAGATAATGAATGTTAAATATTTTGTAAAATCCATAACATATGGAGCTCTTCTGGAAATAATGAGGTAAGCCCTAAATTAATCTCATTAACCATGTGTTTGAAAAGTTGTAACATTCCACAGAAGTGGCAGGAGAAAGGAATGTGTTATCTATGCTCTACTTTAATATCCCAATCAGATCAGGGTGGAAAGGCAGTAATCTGAAATACACTGCATTATCAAAGAGTTTCTAACCAAGGCTGTGTAAAATGGCATTTCCTGGAATCCCTTCTTCTCCTGGGTTCGTTTTGGTTTCTCTGTCAATTATCTAATGCTACTGGCTTGTTTCTCAATTTTTGGCCCAATGATGGCATCCCTTTGAATATGTATAATTCTTTTGCCAATTTCAAGAGCATTTAGGGAAAGAGCATGGATTAGGTCTATTAACTTGAACAATAAACATTAGGCAAATAATAGCTTAACTAAATGGTGAGTACAGGAAAATAAAGATCTACTACAAACATTGTTTTTCCAGAGCTGCTTAGATCGGATACTATAAACATTTAAAGGAAGCAAACACTTATGAAAAAATTTATCACTTAAGTATGACCAACAGTAAAGGAATGAAATCAACTCCAAGCTATTTTGGAAATGTAGGACAGCAGAATGTAACAGATAATGGTACATACTAGAAGAAAATTTTATTTCTTTAAGAAATTTGGGGCCGGGCGCGGTGGCTCACGCCTGTAATCCTAGCTCTCTGGGAGGCCGAGGCGGGTGGATGCTCGAGTCGGGAGTTCAAAACCAGCCTGAGCAAGAGCGAGACCCCTCTCTACTATAAATAGAAAGAATAATTGCCACTATAGATATAGAAAAAATTAGCCGGGCATGGGTGGCGCATGCCTGTAGTCCCAGCTACTTGGGAGGCTGAGACAGAAGGATCGCTTGAGCCCAGGAGTCTGAGGTTGCTGTGAGCTAGGCTGATGCCACGGCACTCACTCTAGCCTAGGCAACAAAGTGAGACTCTGTCTCAAAAAAAAAAAAAAAAAAAAAAAAGAAATTTGGGATTAAGCACAAACTACTGTGAACTCAAATAAAATCTTTTTTTTTTTTTTCTTTTTTTGAGACAGAGTGACACTTTGTTGCCCAGGCTAGAGTTGGCCAATTAATTTCTTTCTGTTTTTATAGTAGAGACGGGGTCTTGCTCTTGCTCAGGCTGGTTTCAAACTCCCAACCTGGAGCAATCCGCCTGCCTCGGCCTCCCAGAGTGCTAGGATTACAGGCGTTAGCTACCTCGCCCGGCCTTAAATAAAATCTTAATCTCCCCAGCCAACTGAATGCCCCCTGCCATGGCCAAGGGGACCCTAGAAATACCCTAAAGCTGAGTTGCTGGCCATGAGAAGGGAGGTCAGACATGCTCCAATATGCCCTTTTCTCTTCTTGGAGATATCCTTTGTAACTCATTAATAGGTCTAAAACTATGCAGGACAAAGCTTAAACCACACCTGTATGTACTCAATTTATTTAACGGATTACTTGAGTTTAAGAATATGTCCGGTGGCTTGTCTTCGGTGGCTTAACAGACTTCATTATCTTAACCTAACACATTCTGAGCCTTGAAAGCTTCATTCCTTTAAACAATTACAAACCTATAACCTGTAATTCCCTGCTTTGAAATGTCTTGCCTTTTCCGGCCAAACCAATGTATACCTTCCATGTATTGATTTATGACTTTATGTATAATTCTTGTCTCCCTGAAATGTTTACAACCAAACTGTAACCCAACCATAGGGAGACCGTATACCCAAGGCTTCTTGGACATGGCTCTCTGGGCCATGGATGCACATATTTGTCTCAGAATAACCCTTTTTAAATTATTTCACAGAGATTGTTTCTTTTCTGTTGATAGTAGGTACTTAATAATTATTTAACTGACTGGAAGACACTGTCAGAAATGCTTTGGTATCTAATCCAAGCTCAAATATCAAACGTGGTCAGGAACAATAGGATTTATAAGACCAGAAACTCTGTCTATAGAGCTCATCTATTGCAAACACCTTTTCAGTAGGCTCAATGGAACCAATTTGAAACTCTTACTTATCTGGAGGCTTTTTGGAAACAACAACAACAACAACAACAAAAAAAAAAAAACAAAGAAAGAAAGAAACTCTTACTGAAAGAGAACTTAAACGTCTCCTGAACATGTGGTTCTTTTTAGTTTTTTTTTTTTTTTTTTTTTTTTTTGAGACAGAGTCTCACTTTGTTGTCCAGGCTAGAGTGAGTGCCGTGGCGTCAGCCTAGCTCACAGCAACCTCAAACTCCTGGGCTCGAGCGATCCTTCTGCCTCAGCCTCCCGAGTAGCTGGGACTACAGGCATGAGCCACCATGCCCGGCTAATTATTTTTTTTATATATATATCAGTTGGCCAATTAATTTCTTTCTATTTATAGTAGAGACGGGGTCTCGCTCTTGCTCAGGCTGGTTTTGAACTCCTGACCTTGAGCAATCCGCCCGCCTGGGCCTCCCAAGAGCTAGGATTACAGGCGTGAGCCACCGTGCCCGGCCTCTTTTTAGTTTTTAATACCTCATTTGATTTAAATGAAATCTGATAACATAGTTTTACATTAGAAGTTAATCAGAAGTTGTTACAGAGGGATTTGCCTAACAAAAATATGGCGAAAAGATGTTTTCTGTCTCTTAAAACTTCCCCTACTCTTTTTGGAAATCTGAGGCCTACATCCCTGCCTGGAGGTGTGGGCGGGTGTTGGGACAGGCAGGGAAATCTCTTGTTCTTTACGTCAGAGAAGACAGCTCAGCTGAATTGTCCACCCCAGGCTTCCTCTTAGGCTGAGATGGGATGATTAGAATGTCAATGACAATAGCCTTGAACTGAAGGCTCTCCCTTTAAAAGCTCTGTATTTCTGCTTATGTTCAGGAGAGTCATCCATTTTTCTTCCTTTGCTGGCAAGGTAATAAACCTCTCCTCAACTGATGCGGCCTCGTGGACAAGTGCAGGAGTAACAATTTAACTTAGGTGAGTGGGAAACACTGACTAATTTTGGGGAAATCAAAAGAGAAAAAAAAATTGTGCTTTTTAAAAAAAATTTTGATAGGACCCATTTCAGAAAAATAAAGGACTACAACTTTTGCAGAGAGCGTCTTTCTGCTTTCAGAAATGTTCCTTCAAACTTTAATTTACATACCAATAAGTCGCTAAACCGAGATTTGACTAGGCAGGTTTGGGATGGGCTTGTGAGGCTGCAATTCTAACAGGTCCCTGGTGCTGCTGGTTTGTAGACCATACTTTGCCTAGCAAAGGTATAAACTCACAACCATCTTAGGTGACCTAATCCTCATTTTCAACTTTAAAGATTTGATGCAATGGTGACTTGTTTTGCAACTAAACAAAGTTTCCAGAAAACATCACTCCTGCTAATTTCCCTCGTTTTCAAATGGGGAAAACAGTGCAATTTAGAATTGCCGGTCCAGCCTCCACCCTTCCATTGTCCAGTTTTGGAGGACCGCGCTGTGCCGCAAGTGTCCTACGCGCCGGTACCACGGCCCGAGTCGGTGGAGGGACCCCCGGGGATACCCAGCCGCAGCCTGGAGCCCCGCCCGGAAACTCGTGGGCCCGCCCCCCGCGCGTGCCCACCGATTGGCTGGGACGGCGCCGGGCGTGACGTCAGGCCCCGCCCCGCTGCCCTCCGGCCCCGCCCCGCGGGGCGGCCTGGCGGTTTGGTCTGGAGCAGCTGAAACCGGTTTGAGCGGAGCCTCTTCCTGCCGCTCGGCGCCGCCGCGGGCCGCCTAGGGGAGCGCTGGCGAGGCGCGGACGGCGGGCACCCGGCATCTCGGCCCGCGGCCCTCGCTCTCGGGCGCGGCGGCGAAGGCAACGCGGACCCGCAGACCCGCGGACCGGGCAGGTGAGGCGGCCGGACCGGGCCGGGCCGGCGCTGGGTGCGGAGGCCGCGGCGGCAGCTCAAGTGACGGGGCGAGCTGTCAGGACTGCCGGGCCTGGGGTCGCGGCGGGCGGACGGGCGGGCTCCCGGGCCGGGCGGGCGGGCGCTGCCCGCGAGGCAAGTAGCGGCCGTGACGTTCGCTGCGGTGAGTCGGCGGGTAGGGCGCAATATTTGATTCTGTTTGCTGCGGCGATTCCGCCGGGCTGCCTGATGCTTAGTTCCCTTCTGAAACATGCCTGGGGTGTCGTAGGTATGGCCGGGGCGAGCGGAGCGTAGACCACCGCGGAGATACAAAGTGCTAAGTTAAGGAACAAAGGAACGAAAAATGCAGGTGAAGTCCTCTGGGCACCCCGTCCACAGGGCATACCCCTCGCCCATTGCCGCTCTGTGTCCCCGAGTCATTCGTAGTGTTTGGACGACTGCTTATTTTCCGAAATTGTCTAAAGACGCAGTCTAGGGCATGTTTGTGTAACTGTTATTCCGAGAAACCGAAGTGCCTTACTTTCCTAGGAAAAGGTTCCAGGAATAGTCATCAGTGCCCTCGATCACATTTTAAGACTGCTGCCCCCTTGTCTCCAAAGCTGTACTTTTCCCGAAGCTCTTCAAACTGCCTTGCTGAGAGTTTGAGAAAGCCTCAGTCAAATGCGGCATCAGCCCCCGCCCCAGGGTCCACTGCCTAGTTTTGCGAGGGAAATCACGCACGAGTTGTAGAGCATTCTTTCACCTTGAGGCAGCTGTTGAGTCTGTAGCACCAACACAGGAACTGAGCAAACCAGGCAGGATGTTTGGACCTGATGTTTTCTTCATACTCTTCTGTCGCCCTCCTCCCGGTTTCTGCGCAGCTCCTTCAAACCACTCTACCTCTTCATGCTTCTCCTCCTTGCTACATTTCTGACAGTTGTGACTTACGGAAGAAGTAAACACAAGCTATATCAGTCTTTCCAAAATCCGTAATGCTGTGGATACAAATAACACAACATAAAGCTAACAGAGGTAAAGCTGCACACGATCCAGTCCACTTCTGATTTAAGAACTAGGGAGAACCAAGAACTAAAGAGAACCAGTATTCTAGATAAAATGTCCATATGCAAAAATAAGGTATAGGAAAGTTGGACTCAGAAATAGTGACCACAAAGTAAAAAAATGGCAGAGTGGGTAAAATTTGATATGTACAGAAACTTAAGTCGATGAATCAGATCTTTGTGTATAACTTAAGCAGGAAAAATGTGTGAAATATATATGTGAAAATAACATCAAGATAAAATGAAATGGAAAACGTTTGGGGAAATGTTACTGCATAGTTTAGAAAGTTGATCAAGGAAATAACTTGGCTTCCAGAAATATATTTCAGAAAATGCTTTGCTAATAAAAATCTATTAATGTCTGTATACAGTTGATTAAAATATTGGCTTAAAGTATGCTGGAATCAGAATAGTGGGTCATAATGATCTTCCACCAAGATGAGGAAAAAATTAACTCAGGGAAATAGTAGGCATTTCATATATTTCTTTATTATAGTTTTGAGGATTAAAAATTCTGTGGTCTAGGAAAGAGAAAGGAGATTTGGAAATAGCTTTTTTCCTTGAAAAAATCTGAAGGAAAATATAGATGTTCTTTAGGCAAGAAAAACAAACTTGAAAAATATCTGACTTCAGTTTATCTCTAAACTAGATGTTGCCGCATCTTGGTTTACTTAAATTCCCCTTTTGTTCCCCAAGCTGGCGAATCAGTAAGGTCATGTGTTGGAAAAGTTTATTTGACAAAAAGTAAAATTTATTTTGCTGGGTAGTGAGAACTTTGACATTTTTAAAACATAAATTAATTAAAATACCATATTTTGCTAATTGCTTGAGTCTTTTAAAAGTGTTAAAATAGTGTTAGGTACTACTTGAAATTTCAGCTGAGAATGCTATTTATTATTTATCTTCAAAAAGTACATTAAAAAACCCAAAAGCCTGTCTCAGGAAGTATAGTCTCTGTATATAAATTATTTACATTATCATATTTTGCTAATTGTTTGAGTCTTTTCAAAAAGGGTTAAAATAGTGCTAAATAGTACTTGAAATCTCAGATGGGAATACTGTTTTTTATTCTCAAAAAGAACAAAATGGAGGCTATATTTTTAAAAAAACAAAAACTTATTTCAGGAATAATAGGTGAGTTGGTTAAATTGTCTATTTGATCAGCTAATGTACTTACAATGACTAGCATTTTCCCATCTTACTCTTTTATGACTATCTAGAAGACCTCCCCCCCTCCAAGTTGGGGTGTTTTTTGCATGTTTGGAAGAGGAAGAAGTATGGGTGTGTGTGTAAATTTTTTGTTCCACAACAGAACAGTTTTTTACTTTGTCACTGCTGTTTTGGTAGTGCCAAAATTGTACACTTCAGTCCTGCACCAAAATTTTGGCCACTGTCCATGATCAAGTAAATTGCCATTGCAGCAGCTCCCCAGGCTTTTATTTGGTATGGTAGTACATGTTGGGGGAGTGGAAATTAAACCAGATTGCTTGAATTTTGGCAATTTAAGTGGAAGATGATGCTTTCTTGACTGTGGGGAGGTTTTCTGGAAGGTGTTTTGTATATATAGTTTTTGTGTAGATAGCTTTGTATAGTACATTTACTGCAGCTGTTTACTGCCAAGTTACTATAGTCATTCTTATAAACAACTCTAAGAATGAAAATCTCAATTTTAATAATCAATTGATTTCCCTCTAGAGATAATTTTGTACCAGCTGTTGATTTTAATGCATAGGAATAATTAACATTTAATTTCCCTTAAATTGGTTAAAATAGTTATTCGAAATTGATCAACAAATAGCTGAGTATCAACTATGTAATCATGTAGATGAAATTATCCTTAGTTGAGAACTATGGCAGTAAACACTGGGTGAAAGTATGTTACAGGTTAATATTGAGGTTGATCATTCAGCCCTTTTGATGGATGATGGGTTTTTCTGCTGTCTCTTAAAATTAATTTGGTAGCTTAAATGCCAAGCTTTTTTGTTAGCTTTAAGGTTTCTTCTTGATATGATAATAGATATCTTAAATGTAAGGTTGCAATGCTTCAATGAACCATTTTACTTATTAGAAAAGAAAATACACTGTTAGTGTTAGATTCATATCAGATGTCATGTTAAAAGGGAACTATTGAGATAACAATAGGCTAATGAGGGGATCACAGTCTAGAGCTATTTTTAGGTTTGCAGCATTCTTTGGCATAGAATTAGATGTATGTGCTTAAATAGATGGTGTTTACTCTTAGATGCAGAAAGTAGAATAAGGTAGTCTTAGAAATTATTTTGGTCAAGGGCAGGTTTTCTCTAGTGTGGAGTCCTGGGTTTTCTAACTAAAATAGCGTTGCCAGGTATGGAATTCATCCAAGTGTGATGTGACCCCATGGAGACCGATGGTCTTGGGCTTTCTGAATGAAAAAAAAAAAAACACAGCGTTTACATTTTATAATTGATGTCAATGTGGTGATACACAGTTTATAGCTAAAATTGAGTTCAGACTCCTGGCTCTCATAACAGCTCTCTGTAGATATTGTAGGTCGGGTTTCTCAACCTCAGCCCTATTGATGATTGGAGCTGGCTGATTATTGCTGGAGGGCTGTTCTTTGCATTGTATGGTGTTTAGTAGCATTCCTTGCCCCTTTGCCCACTAGATGCCAGGAGCATTACTCCCAAGTGATATCCAAAAATGCCTTTAGGCATTACCCAATATCCTCTGTAGGGCAAAATTGCCTTCCATGAGAACTGCTGGTATAGATCTGCTTACCTTGATTTGGAAGTGTGTTTAACTGTGGGTAGCAGTGTTCTTTAAATGACCATTGTAAAGTTATGAATGTGTTCAGGAGGAGGGGAAAGGGAGCAAAGGAGAAATAGAAGAATGAATAACTATGAGAGGTACTTTAGGGTTGTTTTATAAAGTAGTAATATGTAAGTGCAAATAAAATTTAAGCTGATAAATTAATGGAAATGGTGCAGAATAAAGACATGATTGGAATTCTTTTAGGAACATTGGTGGATTGGGGTACAAAAGCAGGGGTGTTGGAGAAGTTTTACACAGAATATGATGTGTCTTTGTATGGAGTATGTGTTCTTTCTCGATTTAAATTATTTAACTGTCTTGAGGTATATTATGTCTGTATTTGTGTGTGTGTGTGTGTATATATATATATATTTTTTTTTTTTTTTTTCTTTTTTTTTTTTTTTGAGACAGAGTCTCACTTTGTTGCCCAGGCTAGAGTGAGTGCCGAGGCATTAGCCTAGCTCACAGCAAACTCAATCTCCTGGGCTCAAGCAATCCTCCTGCCTCAGCCTCCCAAGTAGCTGGGATTACAGGCATGCACCACCATGCCCGGCTAATTTTTTCTATATATATTTTTAGTTGGTCAATTAATTTCGTTCTATTTTTAGTAGAGACAGGGTCTCACTATTGCTCAGGCTGGTTTCGAACTCCTGACCTTGAGCAATCCGCCCTCCTCAGCTTCTCTGAGAGCTAGGATTACAGGCATGAGCCTGTGTGTGTATATATATTTTTTATAAACTTATTTTCTGTCTTCCTTTGGGTACTTACGTTAGAGAATGGTAAACAGATTAGCCTCAGAAAGCTAGAGAAGAAATGAAAAAAATAAGTGGGAAAATGCAGATAAGCAATAAAAGACCTCAAAGTAATTTCAAGCCAGGGACTTGAGGAAGGATATTTTAATTGACATAAAATATATTATTGGGAAGAGATTTAAAAGCCTAAATAAGGGTAGGAGACTTAAGGTTTTGAATGAAGTTGATAACTTTAGAAAGACATGGTTGTAAGATCAATTAGAATCAACAAGATTTGGTAATAGATTGTAGAGTTGAGACACTGAATTTGAGCCTGTAGAACTTGAGTAATGGTGGTCCCACGGTTAATAAAGAGAAAATCTGGAAAGTTCTTTGGGGGTGGGGGGGTGGGGGGGGAGGTTTTATTTTAGTAATTAGTTACATGTGTTTTAGAAGTAGATTCTCAAACTTGTTGCAGAACATAACTAGTTTGTTTCAGTGGGTAGTACTTAAGTTCTTTGGTTTCCTTGTTATTAAAGTTGGTACTTTCTTATTAAAGTAGAAGTCCTCTAAAGTTGAACTTTTTCCTGTCTCTACTTGTTTTTTTCTTCATCCACCATAAAGCGCACCTGGTCAGGAAAAAAGTAGGTTGAATTCTGAACAGCTGCTTATTAGAAGAGAAAGCCTTAATATGTGGCAAGAGAATCTTGACCCTTAAAATAAAAAAAGTTTGGACACTTTTTGTTTTGCAGCATATATTTCAGATCTGTAAATTCTTTCAAAGTAGATTTGTAACATCAAACCTTATTGCTTTTGAAAATATAAACAGCTCTTGTGTTAACTTTTCTTGATGATATCTTCATGTACTATAAATGACAGCTTTTTTTTTTCTTCCTAGCACAACATCTTAAAATAAATCCATCAGAATGACGCCTTCTCAGGTTACCTTTGAAATAAGAGGAACTCTTTTACCAGGTATTGTAAAGTTTGACTTTGAAACAATGTCTCAAATTAAGTGAACATTTTTCTTATCTGGATTTATCTTAAATATAGTGCTATTATTAGAGTGGGCCTGGTTTTTAGATGAAAACATCTTTAAGTCTTGATATTAGAAATGTGCTCAGAGCATGGTAAACTCAACAACAAAAAACCTCCTCAAGTAGTAAGTATCCTATTTTCATGTTTTCCAAGAAAGCTATGAATTTAATTTTGCATAGCACAGAGATAATTGGGCTATGAGTTTTAAGTAGCATGAAAATGAGGAAAATTTTGCTAGTGCAAGAAGTTGATGAAATATTTGGCTGAGATAACTTTGTTTTTGTAATATCTATTTTTTGTTATTTAATAAAACACTGAAACAATTTTAGTGTAAGATAGCATGTCAAAACTGTATTACACCTGGGTTTTGTACCTTCCTATGTTATATACTCTAGCTATACTGGCCTTTCTTTCAGTCCTTCAAATCTGCTACAATTCCTTTCTTGTTTCTCTTTTGGGGCTTTCTCAAATTATGTTTCTTCTGCCTAGATCTGCGATGCCCCTCCCCGATAATCCCACATTCCACCAGGTTAAGGCCCATGTGAAATTCTCTCAGGGCTCCAGAACTATTTTTAGTACCTTTAAGAGATTTTATAGTTATTTGAGTAATTTTGTGTATGGACAGATTATAAACTCTGTGAAAACATGACTTTACCTTGTTTATGCTGAATTCTTGTACCTAGCATAGTGCCTGGTTTAGAGCAGGAGTATAATATACATATATTCAAAGAATGAATGAATGACTCACTTTACATCTAACATCTTTGTTCTAGCATTCATTTCAGCAGTTGGCAGAGTGTGTTTGTGTCTAAGTTCAGATCCTTAACCAAGGTCATCTGGTACAGCTGCACCTCTGGGCAGAGTTCTGCAGATTGAAGATTGTTAGTCAGCTGATGGACTGGCTCCATCAAGTACTCACCTCTGGTCTAGTGTGTATCCTCAGCTGTGGAGAGAAGACTGCAGAACTGTATTGTACTTTTTAGAGAGTTGTAGGTAGGCAGTTAAAACTAGAAGGAGCTGGCCATGTCAGACAAATGGACTGGCCACAGAATTAGCTGTAGAAGGGTCAGCTTGGTGAGGGGGACACTTATTCTCAGGGATTAGAAGGAAGAAGAGAATGGTGGATGTGGATGTAGAGGACTCTGTAGGTGGGGATGAGGAGGTAGAGGGGATAGCAAGAGGATGTTGGGGAGATTCCCCACCTCAACTCCTCCATCATCACCTTGATTTCCTCACTGCATGGAGGAAGGATTCACTGTGAATGTGGAGAGTGGGGAGTGCAGAGAGGAGTGAAATTGGAGGGAACAAGTAAAAAAAAATATGTGGAGTTACTGTTTGTAGATTCCTTTAGTTAACATTCAAGCCTGTATAGTCTTTTATAAATAAGGGCCAAATAAAGAAAGGGGCCTTTTTGTTTTAGTGAAACGTTTCCTTTTTTTCAGAAGCCATAATCTCAGGGAATCAGCAGAAGGAGAAATAAAACTGTAGGAGGGAAGTGGTAAAATGTAGGAGCCACCTATAAGAGGAAAGTGAACCACTCATTTGCCCAAGTTTCGTTTTTTTCCATTTGGGCTCTATGTTCTTTTCAGAGCATAAAGTAGCCTGCTGTTTTGTTTGGGTGGGGATAAGAAATAACTTACTCCATTTAAAACTTTTAATGAGACTCTCCTTTGTGAAAGAACTATGATGGGCCGAAATCAGTGATTTTGTGGTAATCTGTACATTGGGAGCCAGGAGCCATAACATATGTTACATATATGCAAAGCAACCAACATAATGATCTTGGGAATGAATATTTGTGCCTTATATTTAACACCATTGTTTACCCCCACCCTCTGTTTTTTTTTTTTTTTTTTTTTTTAAATCAGGGAAGGTAGTGATACCTAAGTTAATTGTAAAAAAAAATCTGATCTGGTTACTTTCATGGATTGATGGATATTTTGACATGAAATCCTTAACCATGCTGTGTTTCACACACATGTAATTCTAGTCCTGAAAACTGAATGGATATTGCACTTGGAATTTTACAGTCCAGGCTTACAAAATGCTCATGCATGTGGCCAAAACTTACTACAATGCTAGTCTTCCTATAGCAGTGCCTCAAGGTTGGAAGCCCAGTTGTTTTCAGAATGTGGAGGAGTTTGTCTTGAACCAAATTAGCATTTGGATTCAATTCATTATATTTTTCTTTATGAATTTTAATTATATTCACAATGTGTTGATATATGTCAAAGACTTATGCATTCTTGTATCCAAGAATTTGTAGACTTCTGCTAAATATACGAGATTTAGCAAGTAGAGATGAAAGTTTTATGTTGGCTTTTATTTTATTTTTATTTTTATTTTTTTTGAGACAGAGTCTCGCTTTGTTGTCCAGGCTAGAGTGAGTGCCGTGGCGTCAGCCTAGCTCACAGCAACCTCAAACTCCTGGGCTCGAGTGATCCTTCTGCCTCAGCCTCCCGGGTAGCTGGGACTACAGGCATGTGCCACCATGCCCGGCTAATTTTTTTTTTTTATATATATATCAGTTGGCCAATTAATTTCTTTCTATTTATAGTAGAGACGGGGTCTCGCTCTTGCTCAGGCTGGTTTTGAACTCCTGACCTTGAGCAATCCGCCCGCCTCAGCCTCCCAAGAGCTAGGATTACAGGCGTGAGCCACAGCGCCCGGCCTGGCTTTTATTTTTGAGACAAGGTCTCTCTGTTACCCAAACTGGAGTGTAGTGGCACAATCATACAGAGCTAACTGCAGCTTGGCACTCCTGAACTGAAGTGATCTTCGTGCCTCAGCCTCCCAAGTAGCTAGGACTACAGGCATGCACGACCACCTCTGGCTCATTTTTTGTAGAGATGAGGTCTTGCCGTGTTGCCCAGGCTGGTCTTGAATTCCTGAGCTCAGGTGATCCTCCCACCTCAGTCTCCCAAAGTGCTGGAATAATAGGTGTGAGCTAGCATACCTGGCCAACTTTTAAGTCTTTTGATGAAAAGTGTTCAGAAGAAATGATAGCCATTATTTCTGTAACAAGTACTAATAATAGGTTTTTCACTATGTAAGTCTTTGTTTTGTGGGGTTTTTAATTACATTATTTCTGTTCCATTAATAGTGTTCTTGATCTTTGGCTTGTTAATAGTTTCTCAAAAATACTGATTAATATTTCTCTAGAATACTTAATATGCATTTAGTGTTTGCCCCTTTAAGTTGGAAGCTGCCATGAAGGTGAGGACTGTGGTTTGATCGCTTTGCATTCTTGGGGTGCTTGTTTCTGGCTTAATAAGTAGTTGGATAGATGAAGAAAAGTGCATTCCTGTGCCTTCCTTATATCTGGAGAGGTGAGTCAGGTTAATGTGCAGGTGCTAATGTGGTACCTGGGCCCAAACCCATGCCTCCAATAAGCCTTTTCCATCTGCTAAAGGAGATTCCACATCTGGTTGAGCTAACTAGTGCAACTGACTGCTCTTTTCTTACTCTCTAAAACTAAACTCTGAAGCTTTCTTATTTATCCTTCTGTAACTGATTGTTTTGTTTCCTTAGGAGAAGTTTTTGCAATATGTGGAAGCTCTGATGCTTTGGGAAACTGGAGTCCTCAAAATGCTGTGACTCTTCTTCCAGAGAACAAGACAGGTGAAAGGTAGGCATGGAAATGTCAGGTTACATAATAACTGCAACATTCAGGTTATAAATGTAGGGGCTTCTAAGATACCTTGGTGGTTTTCTTCTTTTAGTTTTAATTTTTGCCAAAGTTACCACGTTTGTATAGTTGAAAGGGTAAAGTAGTTTTGCAGAGTTTGTGTGAAAACAGGTTCCTCTGTTCCTTAACCTCTGCCTCTCAACCACTCAATTCTTGACTGGTTATTTAGGTACTTACCACAATATTTCTAAATAACGGGCTTTTATTGCTTTCTTATTTTTTAAAAAGACTTTTAGGTATTATCTTTTGGCTTCTACGTATATATTCTTGATAATCTAATTCTGTTTTTGCCTATAAAATTATTTTCCTGAGAAGTAAGTATATGGTATTCAAAGGGGCAGAGAGTGGAACACATACTTAGACATCTTAGCTAATGTACAGAAATGTTATCACTAGCAGCTTTAAGTACAGCTAGCCTTAGTCTGGGTGCAGTGGACTGGGGAAAGGAAGACATGGGTGCCCGTGGCCCTTCTGCAGTGAACTGTCTCTTACATACTACTTATTCCCTGCAAGTGGCTATTTTTTCCTTGATTTGCAGATCAGCCACTCCTGTCTGAAGTAAAACCTCATATCTTTCTTACCTTGTCCCTAAAACACACCTCTGCCTGTCTTAAGTTGATTTTAGCCAACTTGGTCAAAGTAATGTGAACAGAATGAGACAACATTTAACTACTTAACTTTATTTTTTTATTTATTTTTTTTGAGACAGAGTCTCACTTTGTTGCCCTGGCTAGGGTGCCATGGCGTCAGCTTAGCTCACAGCAACTTCAAACAACTGGGCTCAAGCAATCCTTCTTCCTCAGCCTTCCAAGTAGCTGGGACTACAGGCATGTGCCACCATGCCCAGCTAATTTTTTCTATTTATTTTTAGTTGGCCAATTAATTTCTTTCTATTTTTTAGTAGAGATGGGGTCTCACTCTTGCTCAGGCTGGTCTCAAACTCCTGACCTTGAGTGATCCACCCGCCTTGGCCTCCCAAAGTGCTAGGATTACAGGCCTGAGGCACCGCTCCCGGCCTTTATTTTTCCTCAAGAAGACACCCTAGGGCTAATTTTCAGTGAATGTGTTATTTTCCCCTCAAAGCCTCAGCTTGCAGCACACACAGGATGGCCAGGACCTGACCAAGGGAGCCGACCTAGTTGGTGGGGCTGTCCACATGTTTCTGGTAACCTCTTTGATAGTAGCTGTCATGATGGGGCAGATGAGAAGGGCTACAATGTCTTCTTTACTCCTCCGAGACGAAATGCATGGGTTGTGCAGATACGGTGCATAGCCACGCCCACCACTAGGTCTTATTTTTGGGGTAGTGCTTATATTGTGCAAATGCTTAGAAATCCTGCTAGGGCTTATTTTATGGGTAGGTCTTATTTTTGGGGAAACATGGTACTTAACTTTAAAGGACCAGCGGGTTATAAATTGATGTGCACCGAAGTAGAATTGATTCATATATAACAGATAAATAGTATTTCATAGGGAGAAAGGAAGCAGATGATACGAGAGAATGTGTTTGCCTTTAGACAACATTCTCGTGTTAGAATTTTTTCTTTGGGATTTCAGTGTACTGTATATCTAAGTCCTCTGTGCTCCTATTTCATAGTCTCTTAAAACCTTCCCTCCCCAGCTCTCCATACCTATAGGCTCATGGCAGCCAGAGCTCTGTTGGAATTTTTTTTTACTTACAGATAATTTGAACATCACAGTATTGTTTCCCAATAATGCCAAAGATGTGGGTCACTTGTGGTTTTATTTGCTCTTCTTGTTAAGATTTTGTGGTGTTTTGAGAGAGGATATGAGAGCAGTTCAAAATCAGGCAGCCACACTAAACCACCTCACTGCCCTTCTTTCCTGAGTTTTCTTGAATTTTATCAGATTATTTTCAGTCTTCACTGAGACATTTTGCTTCATTCTTAATTTTGCTGCATTTGCTTAGAGAAGTGAGGTAAAAGATTCATTGCTTTGTTTTCTCCCTCTTTTAGTGTGTGGTGTGTTTTTGTTTTTTTTTAAAGTCAGTCAAATTTAGCAGTGGAGGGTCGAATACCAACTTTAGTGACACTAATGTTAATAAGTTCTGATAACCCACTGCCATCAGACCAGCCTATGTGGTGTTTTTTTTTTTTTTTTTTGTACCCCCAAGAAATCAGGTTTTGCTCCATCTCCCAGGCTAGAGTATAGTGGCTCAACCATAGTTCACTGTAATGTCCAACTCCTGGGCTCAAGCAGTCCTCCCACCTCAACCTCCTGAATAGCAAAGACTGGGCACATGCTACCCCAGCTAATTTTTAAAATTTTTTTGTAGAGAAAATGTTTTGCTCTTTTGCCCAGGTTGGTCTTGAATGCCTGGCCTCAAGTGATCAGCCTCGGCCTCCCAAAGTGGTGGGATTACAGGCATGAGCCACCATGCCTGGGCATTTTAGTGGCTTTTAACCAGAAGTACACATTAGAATCACATGGGAGGACTTAATGTCCTACTTCTGGAGATTGAGAAATGGATGAGAGGGGGCCCCAGTACATTTCTCAACTCTTTTTTTTTTTTTTTTTATGAGACAGGGTCTCACTCTGTTTCCCTGGTGAGTGCTGTGGCATCAATCTAGCTCATAGTGACTTCAAACTCCTGGGCTCAAGCGACCCTCCTGCCTCAATGCACGGCTACTTTTTTCAGTTTTTAGTATACATGGAGTCCCACTCTTGCTCAAACTGGTCACGAATTCCTGAGCTGAGGCTGTCCTCCCACCTCAGCCTCCCGGAGTGCCAGGATTATATTCGTGAGTTACCATGCCCAGCCAGTTTTCAGCTCTTACCACTAATTCTATATGTATCTGGGGCTAGTTTCACATACTCTGGTGGCCGTTTTATGGATGAAATAGTACTGGAAATATGTCTTTTTTTTTTTTTTTTTTTGTAGCATACATGGCAAATTTCTACTCTAAGTTGGTACAGTTTGCCTGGAGACCTGTGGTAAAAGTAGGGACACATGTGCCAAGTATTTGCTATCCTTGTTTTACAGTAGTGATTTGTAACCAGTCATATATATCTGAATGCCCTGTAAAGTTTTATCAATTTACATAGGACCAGGCACCACCCCAATATTTTATTGCTAAAAAACAGTCATGTGAGCCTTCAGCGAGTTGTAATCTTTTTTTGTTGGTGGAGGGTCTTGCTTCGATGTTGATGGCTGCTGACTGATCATTGTGGGGGTTGCTGAAGGTTGTGGTGGCTGTGGCAATTTTTAAAAAGTAAGATGACAGTGAAGTTTGCCACATTGACTCTTCCTTTCATGAAAGATTTCTCTGTAGCCTTCAATCACCAATGAAAAAAAATATTCTGAGAATCACCAAAATGTGCTACAGACAAGAAGTGAGCACATGCTATTGGAAAAATGCCACCAAGAGAACCGAGTCAACACAGGATTGCCACAAACCTTCAATTTGTAAAAAATACAGTATCGGCAAAGTATAATAAAGTGAAGTGCAATGAAACGAGGTATACCTGTATTTTGTTAGGAGCCAGGATTACATCAGAGTGAGGATAATGCCCTAAAATTTGTCTTGGTAGAGCCAGGTGGAGAACAGTGTTAGCCATCTGGCATCATGGAAGAACATTTGGAGTTGCTGTTTATTCACTGAACTACCCATGCAGAATTAATGTTTAGGTAATGGTCTATGACAGTGGCTCTCAAACTTAAGTGTTCGTTAGAGTCACCTAGAGGCTTGTTAAAATACAAATTTCTGGGCCCTCACCCCCAGAGTTTCTAATTCAGTAGGTGTGGGCGGGGCCCAATAATTTGTATTTCTAGGAAGCTCCCAGCTGATACTGATGGTCCTGGGACTACACTTTGGATATAATTGGTTTATGATCTGAAGTTAAAAACAAGTTATAGGCCAGGCGCGGTGGCTCACGCCTGTAATTCTAGCACTCTGGGAGGCCGAGGCGGGCGAATTGCTTGAGATCAGGAGTTCAAAACCAGCCTGAGCAAGAGCGAGACCCCATCTCTACTATAACTAGAAAGAAATTAATTGGCCAACTAATCTATATAGAAAAAATTAGCCGGGCATGGTGGCGCATGCCTGTAGTCCCAGCTACTCAGGAGGCTGAGGCAGAAGGATTGCTTGAGCCCAGGAGTTTGAGGTTGCTATGAGCTAGGCTGAAGCCATGGCACTCACTCTAGCCTGGGCAACAAAGCGAGACTCTGTCTCAAAAAAAAAAAAAAGAAAACAAAAGTTACAATTAAGAATTGTGAATTCACTTGGAGGCAGCTGTTGTGTCAAAGTTTTCCTTTCTGTTAGAATGGTATAGTTCAGAGGAAGACATGGAGCTGAAACAAGATACAGGTACTGATTGCTTGGCTAGGGGAATAACCAGAGCCTGGACAGGACAGTTAGAACAAGGGACTATAAGGAACGTGAATGTAATTTGCCAGTGTGCAATACTCACTTGTGACGCAAAGACTCTGACTCTGGCTTCCACCTTTGCACTACATGAGTTTTCTGTTTGGAATGCTTTGGCTCTTTGTATGGCTGGTTCCTTCTCATCATCTAGGTCTCAGCTCAGATATTCTTCCTTATCCAAGTCTTCCTTCCAACAGGCTACTCAAATTTCTGTTTTATCTTGTTTGGTTGTTTACCCACACAGCAAAGGAAGCTTCTTGAAGATGGGTCTTTTTCTGCAGTATTTATTTCTGCAGAGTGGGCCTGTAGTAAAATTTTGTATGGGAATATAAATGAGTGATATTGATCACAGATTTTGTTCAAAGGGTTTTGTGAATTAAGAGATTATAGTTTGATACTGATGCTTTTGCTGTTTTTTTTTTTTCCTTCACAGCATGTTATGGAAAGCAACCATTATACTCAGTAGAGGAGTATCAGTTCAGTATCGCTACTTCAAAGGGTACTTTTTAGAACCAAAGGTATGTTTTCTTTATCTAGTTTCCAGTTTCTTTAACACTTCTTTCAAAAGCAATTCAGTTAAGTTTGAAAACATTAATAGTAAAATGAGTTTGGTCAAATAAAGAATAGAACTCTTGATTAATAACATTTTAATACCAAAAACAAGGAAAATAGCCACTTCAGAGGCAGATGATATCTGCCATGGAATTTTAAAAAGACATAGTAAGTATGTTCTGCAATATTTTTATCATGAAATTAATTTTAATAATAAATGTTCTCTATACGTGTGCATTTTCTATGATTTGTAAACATTTTCTATGATTTGTAATTAGTAACCCGTTGCAGAGATTTTTCTTTTTGTTTTGTGTTTTAATCCTAATGTGAGGTGAATACATTTAGAGAAATACATAGCCAGCTTTAAGTGAGTAATTTCTTTTTTAAAAATTATTTTACAGCAGCCATCTCTTAGTGGCTGCATGAAATCCAAAATTGAGTGATTCCTCTTAGATTTTTCTAAAGATTGTATTGACAGGCCAGGATCTTTTCTGAAGGCCTTTGGAATATCTGTTAATTCTAAATCTGCCTGTTCACAATGATTCATTATTTTGGGATTGTTTTCATATTTAGAAAAGACAAGTCAATTCTTTTCATTCTGAAGATACTTATTTGCTGAAAGGATTCTTTTCCTTCAGATTTTTACCTTTGGCACCCTGGGGTTGCATGTGAATAAGGGTTTAGGCCAGGAGTCTAGGAAAAAACATGGATTACATCTTTTTAAAGAATGTATTTCCTTTGGGGGTCATTGAATACTTTTGTTACATGTGAAAAATGCAAGCAGCCACTGTTACCTCATTTTCTTAGCCACCATTATTTAAAGAAAAAAAAAGGAAAGAAAACTGACAAACCTACTTTAGCTGTCTTTTGCACCTATTACGTTTCTTCTGAGAATATTTTGTAAATATTCAGTGATTGAACTTAAATTACATTATGGTTGATCATTGTGTTGGCTTTTCTTGACAATAGTCTCACTTTAACAACTTAAGAAAGGAGCACCTATCATTTTTGGGCATAGGGGTTATATATATATCATGACAGAGTTCTTCAATATAAATTGAACTATTATGTGTAGATACCTAGGTCATAGCTCGTGCCATTGGAAGTTTATCTGAGGATCCTGGTATATGAAATTTAGCATTGTAACCTGTGAAATCAACTAAATTTTACTTAGCAAGGGGAATCTGGACAAGAAAGATCATAACGAGTCCTTCGGGCATAGTTTTCCAAAGTGAGACTATTGTCAACAGAGGTCAGATTAAGCCAACCTCTAGTAATTTTCCTTTTCAATGAAAATGTAACCATAAGCAGAAAATCAGCCCAAAATGCCTTTTGAAAAAAAATTGGCAAGAAGTCTGCTTAGCAGTAAAAAACAAGTTTTTCCGCTTGTAATACTTGCAAAAGTTTACAGTATATGTTGGTGAGTGTGTTTCTTTAAGTAGGTGCTCTGTATCGCGTACACATGTACCGTGTGATGCAGGGGCTGCCATGGTAAGTATGTTTTTCATGGACTAGAATAAATAGCTACATAAAATCCCATGCAGTATGGCTACAGGTTTTTTTTCCCACATGCCGGCTTAAAGTGACACTTCTTTTAAAAGTTGGTGGCGCTTTTTAAATGAAACATTTGTATTATACAAATATTATGAAACTTTGTTTCAGTTGTGCATTGTCAAATGATAGAAGTAATGTACAAGGGGCCTTAAATTATGAAATGATGTAAATTATTGGAATATGTATGTTATGAATATAAAGAATGATAGGAAAGCAAAGTAATTGTGAAAGCATTTAAAAGCTGAAATTAATTTTACTGGGTCAAAAGTTTTAAGAGGTAGTCTACTCAGGCAATTTTACCTAAACTAAAAGTCTCTTGATATTTGGACAAACCACGTGACCTTTAGGCTTCAGCTTCTTCATCTATAAAATAAAGGGTTTAAACTGTAGACTTCTTAGATCCCTTTCATTGCTAAAATTTTATTGAGTAAATAAAATTTTACCATTCATATTTTTCTCTTCCATGCTTTGCTTTTTCTGGCATATTCCTTTTAGTTTAGAAGTTAAGAAGTTTGAAATCCTTTTTCTCAATTTTTCACAGCTGTTAGTTCTCTTATACTTTGTAAATTAGAATAAGATATTTGTCAAAATTTTAAAGTAATTTTACAGATGTCAAAGCAAAATATATTTAAACATAGCACATAAAGGTAGTGTATTACTGAAGTAAAATTAAAACATTGGTATGAGTCTGCAGAGAATACATTGATTTCATATCTTCATCAACATCATCAGCATCCTTTTTGAATTAACATGTAATTTAAACATGTTTTTGCATGTTCACCCCTCTTTGCTGGTGGCTAGAATTAGAGATCTTTCCTCATAGTGAAATGTTAGCTAGTTTTTAATTATATCTTATGGAATATTTCCTTCATTTTTGTTAAAATAGGTGTATTTTTTAGTAACATACTGGTGTTTCTAACTTTTTTTTTCTTTTTACTTAACCCTTGTAGTGTTTCTAACTTTTATAGGTGCTAACGTTCAGTCATAATTAGATTCATTACAAACTTTCTTATTTAGATCTTAATCTCCCTTGATTTTTGTTTCAATGCTTTTAACAAAAGAATCAGCCATCTGTGATGGGCATATAATTGTTCATTTTCAGAATAGCCTAGGTTGTCATTTTCTTCAGTGGTTTCTTAGTATAGTAGAATTATCCTCTGGATGCTAAATACTCCCAGCTGTTGAGCTGTGAACTTTCACAGAGATGTCTGTTTGCCTAGCTTCCTTTGCTTTTTGCTCATTCCTAGGTGACCATTTTTCTTATTGGTCTTATTAAAAATAAGTCATTTTAAAATAACTGGCTCTGGCCTCTGTGTGGCATCATAGATAAAAATTCCTCAGATCCCCCTTTTATTATGCAGGTTGTTTTCAAAATTGTGGAAAGAAAACAATCAGTAAAAACTTAAAAGTTCATGATACATGCAAGCAGTAGTATTACAGAACTGATGATTTTGCTTGGTGGTTTGTTAAAAACAAAACCCCTCACTACATGTTGGGCAGCCTTTTGTTTCTCTCAGTTCTTGATGTAGCTGAGTGATGTCAATAGTTGCTTAAGAAAGCAGTTGTTAAGACTTTTTCATGTGGAAACATTGATTTTTAAAAAATATTTTTATTAATATGTATGTTTGAAAACATTTCTGCAATCATCTGATTTTATATATGCTATATTGTGCAATAACTCTTCCAATACTGTTAATGGAATAATGTCTAATGTCTTAGACTGATACTGTTACTCTTTTCTCGAAAGATCCACCTTCTACTTGACTCAAAAAGGCTTAAAATTGCAGCAGCCTTTTGCAGATTGGAACTGTTATTTTTCTAAGATCTTAAAAAATGAGTTATTGCAGTTAGTATATTAGAAAGAATTGCATGTTTTGCAGTCATCACTGAGATTTTTGAATTTTCTAACACTCTGGTCTTAAATTTTTTTTAAGAACTTATATAAAAGCTAAAATTTAAGATTACCTTCTAAGGTTTAATAAAGTAGTTATAACAATTTTGGAAATTGAATGTATTTTAAAACTAGGTTCTTTTTCTCTATAACACTTTACCTACCAACATGGATTTGTAATGGGAATAGACGTAAGTCATCTTTAGAACTGTCCCTTTCGACTGCTCCTCAGATACTCTATTCAAGTCCAGATTGTTTTATGCTGTGGATAGTGGGTTTGTTACTAAAGTAGATGAGAGTGGAGATGCTAACATTGCTACTAAAAGGGCCAGGTGCGATGGCTCATGCCTGTAATCCCAGCCCTCTGGGAGGCTGAGGCAGGAGGAAATGCTTGAGGTCAGGAGTTTGAGGTTGCTGTGAGCTATGATGACATCATTGTACTCTAGCCTGGGTGACAGAGTGAGACTCTGTCTCAAAAAAGCAGAACAAAACACAATTGCTGGGCCGGGCGCTGTGGCTCACGCCTGTAATCCTAGCTCTTGGGAGGCCGAGGCCGGCGGATTGCTCAAGGTCAGGAGTTCAAAACCAGCCTGAGCAAGAGCGAGACCCCGTCTCTACTATAAATAGAAAGAAATTAATTGGCCAACTGATATATATATAAAAAATTAGCCGGGCATGGTGGCGCATGCCTGTAGTCCCAGCTACTCGGGAGGCTGAGGCAGTAGGATCACTCGAGCCCAGGAGTTTGAGGTTGCTGTGAGCTAGGCTGACGCCACGGCACTCACTCTAGCCTGGATAACAAGGCGAGACTCTGTCTCACTAGAATATATTCCCTATCACATTTAATCCACAGGACTACATGATTAAGTACTACAGTTAATACTTTGTAAAATTCCTCTGACATCTGAATTAAAATAAAATAAACCCTCTCCCTTTCTTTACCCACTTTATATCCCTGTTGACATTTAATCTTACATTCGTGCCACCCTTGTCAGCTCACCTTTGATTAGTAACTTTTATAAGGATTTAGGTCCATACCACCTTTCCAGAAGTTTTTTTTAGTGGTGGAGAGGGGAGGACAGTCTGATGACATGGGAGGGATGGAGGAAAGGCATGGTTAGTTCTTCCTGACTGCTTATCATTGCTAGGAAGCATTCTTACTTTTAATGTATACATTTGCATCTTTTGAGGGTTAGAAAGTTTGATTTTTAAACACAGGAAAAAAAGTTCTAGTAAAAAACATGCAGCACATGTAGGATCAGATAGATCTTTTTTAGTATATTGGATATGCAATTGATATATTAAGATGAACAGTTTCAAATTACATTTTGAATAAAAATTTTACTCAGTCTATATAGTGAACTCTTATAGCAGCTTGAGAAAAAGCATTCATTTAATATCCCAGGATTAATGATTTGAATGAATATCTAATACTGTTTTAGTTTTTAAACTTCAAAAGTTTACAAATTAAAAAAAAAGAATTTAACCTGGCTATTTAATTAGTAGAACTATCTTGTGTATTATCAGTTAATTTATTGTGTTGTTATTGTTTGGCACATTTATTAGAATATAATCAGTGTTAAAATCCTGTAAAATGTATAGAAGAGTATTTAGTGCTATCTAAAGATAAGGATACATACTATACAGAGTTTTATTTTCCAGGCTTTTAAAGTATACATGCCTAGAAAGGGGCTCAAGAGATTCTATGTGAAAATGTTGATAGTGATTATCCCTCAATGGTATGATAATGAGTGATTTTAGTATTTTCTTTTTGATTCTCTGTATTTAATTAGATGTCTTTAGCGATCATGTAAAAAAGGAAAAAATTAAAGTACCCTGTAAGGTTACAGCTTGAAAATTTGGTTCTAGTCTATGGCCATACCACTCTGAATGTGCCTGATCTCCTAAAAATTTGCTTCGATTGTGTATTTAAGGATTTTATTTTTGGCACATAATTTTAATTAGAGATTTTTTTAATAAATGAAAATTAAGGCACTTTTAAAATTCAGTCTTTTAGATATACTCAGGTAATCTTTGGTAGTTCATTGCTCAAAAATTGTTCTATGTTGTCTACAGTACGTAGAGCTTTGTTTTCTTTTTCAGTAAGGGGACTTGTTAACAGGAGACAGTATGAGGAATTGTCATACTGTATGAGTTTGTAAACTATAAGGCATAAGAATGAAACTGGATGTTAGTTTCTCTTTTGTCACACTTATTCTTCACATTTACCCATCCATGTGTCCTTTCTTTTTTAGAGTTTCTATGCCCTTTAGGAGTACTAGTTACTATGATATGAGAATTCTGATATTCTTATTTTCCACTTATTATTCTTAAAATAAGAACTTTATTATGCCTGTTAGCTCCCTGAGTAACCTGTGATAATTGATCTGGAAGTACTTGTTCCTACTATTTCTACTATAGTAGATTTGGTTTTTTCTAAGCACTTGGAAACTTAAAAAGTTTCTAAGCAGGAGGTCGGTACTTTCTCTAGGAATACCTCATTGACTGTATATTTGGTGTTTAACTTAGGACAGAATTAATAGCACTTAAAAATTAAAACTTCTTTGAAAAACATTGAGTATTGTGGGCAGATTTAAGAATGGGTTTAAAACAGTTTTGTGTGCCAGTTCATCTCATTTTTCTTTGTTTACTGCCTCACTCTTATTTTCTTCCAGCATTTCATCATGTTTTGTGACCTGGTACATTCTGATTTTTGGCATATAATATTGATAATTACCAAGATGAATCTCTTGGTCTCATATTTAGTATAAGACTTAGGACACAAACATCTAATGGAGTCATGGGTAGAAAATAAGATATAAGAAATTATTGCAGACGTTTAACTTTTAAATTGCAGACTATCGGTGGTCCATGTCAAGTCATAGTTCACAAGTGGGAGACTCATCTACAACCACGATCAATAACCCCTTTAGGTATGGGCATTAACTGCATCTGTTTGAGGCATATGCATAAAGTTACTAATATGCTGCACAATGGCTTAGTGGGATTTAATAAATTTTTATTCTAAAGTTTAAAGTCAATGCATTGTCAGTACAAATTTCACTGAGCATTTCATGGATCTTTCAAAACTTAACAGTTTTTAATTGCCTTTATCAACTTTATTAGAAATGCTTGCCTAGTTATTTTTATTTTCTTGGGTTAATTTAATTTATTTTATATGGGGTGGTTAGAAAATTTATAAGATACCATTCTTCTTGATGTATAACATCCATGGCTCTATTTGATTACTTGTTTCGAGAACATTTGAGGAAAGAATTGATCTAAAACAAAGACTCTTACATTTTTAACTTGGAACAGTAGAGTAATAGAAGAAGTTATTATACCTTTTAAACTAGTAAATATGGGGGTAAACTTGTATGAACGAACTCAAATTTCTTTGTTGTAGTAGACAGTATATTTAATTTACTTAAATTCCCTGCTGGCTATGCTAAAATTGATATTCAGAGGGTTTTTATTTTATTTAAAAAAATATTTAGTTGTCTTATGCCTTGGCATTTCTCTTCATACAAGTATTTTTTAAATTTCCTTGTCCATATTGAAAATAGAATTTGAAGTTCATTTCACATACATTACCTACTTTATCATCTGTAAATTGACTCAGTGCTTAGTTTTTAGGTAAAGTTAAAATTTAAAGATAATAAATGGCTTGCTGGTTTACTAGCTTAGATTAGAAAGCAATTAAAGTTTCTTCTTTACCCTGTAGCAAGGGCACATCTTGTTTAAACAGATATCTCATTCCATCCTCTTTATTGGATTTTCTTTTTGTATGTTTTAATATGTTTTTGATAGTGTATTAGACATTTTATGATAGTATACTTAAAATTGTAACAGTCCCATACTGAGGTTGGAACGTATTAGGTATTAAACATTTAAAAGACAATTTGTATTTTAAAGCATCTATATTTTCTTATTGTGAGAAGTTGGATGATTTTGTTTGTTTAGAAAGAAATATATTTTATACTTTTGAGAAATAGAACTTTTGAACTTAAAAGCTGTGTGAAATCTACCAGAGAATCTTTATTAGGAAGTATCACATTTATTTTGACAAATACTTCATACTTACGTTAAAGTAAACTGGAAAGGAAATTAGGCAGGGAAGATAATTTGTATTTTACTCAGAGGGGCGGAGCTTTACCGCCATTCTCGGTTTAAATTTCTGTTAGGAGCAGGGCATGTGCTAGCACTTACTCTTTTTTTGGTAGCTCCTCACAGCTCTTTATATAAAGGTAAGTTTATGCTGTTTGTAAAGCTTTTAGCTGGGTGTAGAGAATAGTGGGGGTTTGAGGAGAATTATATTTTAGATAAGTTCAGAATGTGCTACATAAGAATAAGCATTTTAATTGTGCCAAGACCTTTGGTTTGAAAAATCGACAAGGAGTTATGATTGTCCAGCAACCTGTTAGTCTTGTACATGGGTGAGTGTAGAAGTTCATCCCAGTGCCTCTAGAGCACATCTCTCTGAGGAGTTTTCTTTCTCTTATGATATGAATAGTCACCAAAGTATGTAAGAACTATTAAACTGTTTGGTAGTCTCCTTAAAAGGGAATTCTTTATTGAGGGCTACAATAAATATGCTTATTCACTTTGGGCTGCTTTTAAGTTGTAGATTTAATATTTTAAACCTTAAGGTGGGTAATTTCTCAATTTTTCATTCTGTATACATCATGAGTTTTAACTAGGTTTTCTATTTTCCTTAAATTCTAGAAGATGAAATTCTTATTGACGACGGACAATTTGGAATCCACAGTAAGTGAGACTAAGTTTTTTAAATGTTTGCTGATATGATTAAGATCTTACTTTACATTTCATTAGAAATACAGGGAAATATAGGGCACAGGGAAGCAGTCCATAGAGCCAGGTGCTGCATAACAATGTTTTTGTCAAAGACTGTACATATGACAGTGATCCCATAATATTATAATGGAGCTGAAAAATTCCTCTCACCTAGTGATTTTTGTAGCTGTCCTGATATCATAGTGCAGTGCATTACCTTTTCTTTTTTTTTTTTTTTTTTTTGAGACAGAGTCTCACTTTGTTGCCCGGGTTAGAGTGAGTCCCATGGCGTCAGCCTAGCTCACAGCATCCTCCAACTCCCGGGCTCAAGCGATCCTCCTGCCTCAGCCTCCCGAGTAGCTGGGACTATAGGCATGCGCCACCATGCCTGGCTAATTTGTTCTATATATATTAGTTGGCCAATTAATTTCTTTCTATTTATGGTAGAGACGGGGTCTTGCTCTTGCTCAGGCTGGTTTCGAACTCCTGACCTTGAGCACATCCACCCGCCTCAGCCTCCCAGAGGGCTAGGATTATAGGCGTCAGCCACCGCGCCTGACTGTGTTACCTTTTCTATGTTTATGGTTATGTACACAGAAACTTACCATTGTGTTATAATTGCCTATAATATTCAGTACAATAAGATGACATACAGGGTTGTGTAGGAGCAGTAGGCTGTACCATGTAAGTTTGTATTAGTACACTGTCTGATGTTCCCATGACAAAGAAATCTAGTGCTTCATTTCTCGATATATCTCTGTTGTTAAGCAATGCATAACTGTAGTATGATTTGAAAATGGAGAAGACTAGATCCAAGAAACAAATATATACTGTTAAATAATGATTAATTTCTAATATAATTCCTATGCTTTATTATTTTTATTATTATTATTATTATTATTTTTGAGACAGAGTCTCACTTTGTTGCCTGAGGTAGAGTGCCATGGTATTAGCCTAGTCTGGGCTCAAGCAATCCTTCTGCCGCATCCTCCCGAGTAGCTGGGTCTGCAGGCAAGTGCAACCATGCCCAGCTAATTTTTTTTTCTGTATATTTTTAGCTGTCCAGTTAACTTCTTTCTATTTTTGGTAGAGATGGGGTCTCGCTCTTGCTCAGGCTGGTGTTGAATTCCTGAGCTCAAAGGATCCATCTGCCTTGGCCTCCCAGATTGCTAGGATTAAAGGCGTGAGCCACCACGCCTGGCCCATGCTTTATTATTTTTATTCCTTTGATTTTAATTTGGTGATTTCAGGCATGTGATTTTATATAATTAATTTTAAAGTATATTGTACATCTAACTTAATATATCATCTCTTTTTAAAACCCTGTTGTGGGCCGGGCGCGGTGGCTCACGCCTGTAATCCTAGCTCTCTAGGAGGCCGAGGCAGGCGGATTGCTCTAGGTCAGGATTTCGAAACCAGCCTGAGCAAGAGCGAGACCCTGTCTCTACTATAAATAGAACGAGAAATTAATTGGCCAACTAACATATCTAGAAAAAAAATTAGCCGGGCATGGCGGCGCATGCCTGTAGTCCCAGCTACTTGGGAGGCTGAGGCAGGAGGATTGCTTGAGCCCAGGAGTTTGAGGTTGCTGTGAGCAAGGCTGACGCCACGGCACTCACTCTAGCCTGGGCAACAAAGTGTGAGACTCTGTCTCAAAAAAAAAATAAATAAAAAATAAAAATAATAAAACCCTGTTGTGAGACTCTGTCTCAATAAAAAATAAATAAAAAAATAAAAATAATAAAACCCTGTTGTGTTTGAAATTACATTAACGATTCTAAACATTTAAAGTGTGAAACATTACTCTTAAGCAAAGTTTGTGCATTTTTATGCTTGCTTATGCATTTACAGTAATAAAATCCTGCAGACTAACCTGAATGTTCCAGTAATTCTGAGTCTTTAAAAATTCATTTACAATAAAGTAAAAAATGCTTTAACTTCTGAATATGTTGAAAATGCTATGTATTTGTTTGTTTTTCTTTTTTTAGTAAATACTGTGTATAGCCTGAGAACTCAAATTTTCTTCAGTGATTAGAATTTTCATGGTGTATCAGGGTTATCATGGCAAACTGTTCTCATTTTAGATTCTATATAGGAGTCAAAAAGTAGGAAGGGTTGGCCGATGTGTGCCTACTGACTCTGAATCAGAGATAAATTGCTGAGCCACTGCACCGGCCTCAGTATAAGTTTTGATACATACAAGAAGGAATATTATGGGGGGGGGGGAACCAAACAAAAAAAAAAAGGAATTTGACATCTTTGATTTTGTGTGGGATTGTTTATATTACATCAGAAGATTGTCTAAAATTTGAATACTTTTAGTGGTAATTATTTTAGAGTCTTCTCTTTATTAATATTTACAAAAGATAATATTTATGCTACATGTTTTGGAGTGCTTTGTGGAAAAGTAGTTTTCTCCTTTCAGTGGCAATGCATGGCATGTTCCTTTATTACTACATGTTAATTACTGTTTATGGTTGTAAAACATGACATTCATGCCTCAGTTTTTAGTTGCTTTGCCTTAATTTCAGCTTTAGTTCACTTTCAGGATGGAAAGCTGTTTCTCCGACTTTGTCTTTTTTTGAAAACAACGTTAAAAATTTGACAATTTTTAAACATTCTTAAGTTATACTAAGGAGAGAAATTTCTTAATACTCATAGTCCTGTTGATGAAACAGCATAGGTCCAAGACATCAGCAGCTTCTCTGGTATTTATGAAAATTTTATTATTTATGTAGTACCCCCCCCTTTTAATTAAAGAGGTGGGAGGTTGTGAGGAGGAGTGATCACTTGCCACCTTTGTTGTTGTTGAGACAGAGTCTCAACTCTGCCACCCTAGTAGGTAGAGTGCAGTGGCGTCATTGTAGCTCACTGCAACTTTCAACTCCTAGGCTCTAAGCAATCATGTCTCAGTGATTGCTGGGACTCAAGCATGCCACAAGCCGGGCTGGGTTTTTCTTTCTTTCTTTCTTTTTGTTAGAGACGGTCTCATTCTTGCTCAAGCTAGTCTCTAACACAGAGCTCAAGCTGTCTTCCCACCTCGGCCTCCCTGAATGCTAGGATTATAGGCATGAGCCACCACTCCCAGCCAGTAACTTAAAGTTAATGCTAACACAGTGTCATCACAATCATGCAATTTATTTATGACAATATTTAAACGTGAGAATACAGAATTGATTTATAATTTTGTTCTCATCTCAAACCACGAGCACTAGTGGCATTAACTAGTTTTAGTTAAATATCTCATGTGACGCTTTGGGAGTACCCAATTTCCCCGAAAATAAAACCTACCCATAAAATAAGCCCTAGCAGGATTTCTAAGCATTTGCACAATATAAGTCCTACCCCGAAAATAAGACCTAGTGTTGTGCGTGACTATGCAGCATATCTGCACAACCCATGCATTTCGTAGCAGAGTGGGTGAAGAAGATGAGCAGCCCTTCTCATCTGCCCCACATGACAGCTACTACCCCAGTGGTGACCAGAAATGTGCAGGCAGCCACGCCAACTAGGTTGGCTCCCCCTGTCAGATCCTGGCCAGTGGTTCCAAAGGAAATAGAATTTAAAGAAATTCAGGATGATTCGGGGTTTGGAGAGTTATGAAGATGTTCCAAAGAAGAAGACTTAACTATATTTGAATAAATGTAGATTGTTGTACTGTACTTGAAAAAAAATAACACATCCCCTGAAAATAAGCCCTAGGGTGTCTTCTTGAGGAAAAATAAATATAAGACCCTGGGGAAACGCGGTATAATAATAATCATCCCCCCGAGAACAGTTGCTAGGTTAGATGCTGTCTTGGAACATGTGCCCTTTCTGAAACAGATTTATATTATTTTAATCATGGATCCAATATGAATATTTTAACTTAATTGCTAAAGGATAGCTAATTGTTAATACTCCTTTAACTTTTTCCCTCTACTTCACATAAAAGTTCTTTTTCAATGACAGAGTTAAGATTGCCTGTATGTTTGTTTTGGGGAAAAAAGTACCGGAGTTATATAACTTCAGCGTATTAAAATGTGAACATGAACCAGAATTGTCAATATGCATTGGTACTTATTGGGTTGTTACAAAAAATATGTATAATAATTACTGTTCTTCATATTTATTCTGCCAGATGGTGTTGAAACTCTGGATTCTGGATGGCTGACGTGTCAGACTGAAATAAGGTTACGCTTGCATTTTTCTGAGAAACCTCCCGTGTCAATAACCAAGAAAAAATTTAAAAAATCTAGATTTAGGTATGACTGCGTATATTTGTTACTTAGGCCTTTTATTTTTACTGATGATGTAGATTTAAGACCCATTTGGTTTCAGTCTTTAGGTGTATAAACTAAGAACAAAACACACTTAAAATGTTACATGTTCTAATAACTGTAAGGTCTGTAGTAGTGAACTACTTCCTCTCCCCTCCAGATTTGCTACTGTTACACATATGTAAGTTAGTCTTAATATCCAAATTCAGAACCAAAAAAACTTGTTTTTTCTAAGCTTATATATCTTTATAGTCTCTATCATTTAAAATTTCCTAGTTAGTAATAAATAGTTTTAAAATGGATATAATGGAAATGATTTTGTGTTAAATTAGGGAAGAATGGCATAAACAGAGAAAATGATTATTGGAAATAATCCTCAATGTTCTTTTTTTTTTTTTTTTTTTTTGAGACAGAGTCTCGCTTTGTTGTCCAGGCTAGAGTGAGTCCTGTGGCGTCAGCCTAGCTCACAGCAACCTCTCCTGGGCTCAATCAATCCTTCTGCCTCGGCCTCCCAAGTAGCTGGGACTACAGGCATGCGCCACCATGCCCGGCTAAGTTTTTCTATATATATTAGTTGGCCAATTAATTTCTTTCTATTTATAGTAGAGATGGGGTCTCGCTCTTGCTCAGGCTGGTTTTGAACTCGGGACCTCGAGCAGTCCGCCTGCCTCGGCCTCCCAGAGTGCTAGGATTACAGGCGTGAGCCACTGCGCCCGGCCTCAGTGTTCTAAATTTTACTGTGGCTTAAAAATAAAAATTTTCTGTGAAGAAAGGTAGAAGTTATCACAGCAGTTCTAGATTAGTTTCTTTTTAAGCCCACATCAATTTTCAAGAGTAATTGATAATAAATACAATACTATCTTCGTAATAAAATTCATAGTAACATTGTAGTTTATAAATCCATAAATATTTTACCATAATTATTTAAATATGATATTTACATATCATAGTTATAAAACAGGGAAGGGAAAGGGTGGGTAATACTTTACAATCCTCTTTGCATTGGCTGTTCTGATTGTGAATAGAGGGTTTTGGGTGTACCTTGTCCCTTTGCCTTAGCTTTTCAAGGCCTCTGCTTTGTTTCTGAAAAAACAAGGTAATTGGACCACATGGTCCATTTGACCTCAGAGGTTTTCTCTAAGTAGTTAGTTTTCCATAATTGAATGTTTTATTTACATGTTATTTAAAAGAAGCAAATTATGTTACAGCTGCAAATTGTCTTATTAGAATAAAACCTTAAAATAGAAGTTATAGAAATCACTTTGTGCATTACATATATTACTGTTTTCTTAGGCTTAAATTAAATTGTATATTATCTTATAACTGTATTTAATTAGGCTCTATAAATTAAATGACCTGATTCCTATTGAAATAATTGTGCATAGCTAGAGATTGGTATTCTCATCATCTTTATTCCACAAATTGATATTAGTGCTAGACTGAGCCTTTAAAGGGCCGGAAATAAATTTGTCCGCAAAGACATCAGGACTCTAAAAAGGTTAGTAGTAGCCAAGCATGGTGATGTGCACCTATAGTCTTAGCTACTTGCGGAGATTGTGGTGGGAGGACTGCTTGAATCCGGGGGTTTAAGGTTGTAGGAGCTGTGATTGTGCCACTGCACTTCAGCTTGGGGGACAGAAATTGACTCTGTCCTTAAAAACAAAAAAAACTCCTTGGCAACATTTTATTTAATTCTTTGTTTTAAGAGACAGGGTCTCTATTGCACAGGCTGGAGTGCATTGGCTATCATGTACACAATCATAGTGCACTACAGCCTCGAACCTCTGGCCCCAAGTCAGCTTCCCACCTCAGACTTTCGAATAGCTGGGACTGTAGGCATATACCACTACACCTGGCTTAGCTTGTGCATTATAAACAAAACACTGGACGTGCATCTCATTACCACTAACTTTTAAACATACATTTCTCTTTTCCATTGACTTCACCAAGTAAGTAGAAAGCATATAGTCTCTTTATGATAGGCTGTAACACTTATATAGCTATTTGAAGAAAACCTTTAACATTGTAACATAAACTAAGTTCTTTTACAGATCCCTTCTCTTTAAACTTTTTTGTTTGTTTTAGTAAAATTGGCTATTTTGCCAACATCTGCATGCCTCTCTTGCCTGTTCATTTCTGTCCATTTGCAGTCTTTGTGTATCCTGTACAGAATGTTTGCTCTTTCAGGCTCACCAAGAGAATCAGTTGTCTGGAACCATTCCTAAGTGTCTGGTTTCAGAAAAGAGATGGTGATTTTTGTTCTGGGTTATCGAAATGCATGATTTTATAGTGTGATTGTAGAACAGTATTACTAACAGAGTAATCTGTATAGCTGACTCCTCAGGGAGACCCCAGAATGTAAGACCCCATGTAAGACATGGTTCGGGGACAAGAGGTCATACAGAGAGAGCAGGCCACTCTAATACAGTTTTATTTGTATTATAAATCAAATCCCATTTAAGTCTACAATGAAAATTTTTTGTATTTCCGTTGTTGCTCTTTATAATAACATTGCTCCATTATATTTTGCCTACATTAATAGCATAGTATTAAAATGTCTATGTATATTTCAATTTGTGCAAGAAATATTCTAGAACTGAATTTACTTATTGTCCTTACAAATATTCAGTACAAATAATTGCTTATCATTGGGAATAGACTAGCCTTTTGGCTTTATAACTTGGGTAACTTGTTTTTGTTTTCATTGCTGTGAGGCCTATAAGAGTTTTATACTCTTGGTTTATTTATTTCATTCTATATATATACATGTATGAAACATTTTTCTTTAGTAATGTAATTTTCACAAAATACCTAGAGTTTCACTGTGGTAAGCTAAAGGGGAACATTTTCAATTTAAACCTCTACTTCTAAGTCTTTTAATACATGCTAAAAGAATATGTTTTAATTTTGTGCTTGAGATATATATACACACACATATATATTTGTGAAACCTATCAAGGACTTCTTATTTTTTTAAGGTTAAGAAATTGAGGTAGCCATTTATAAACAGGATAGTAAATATCTCTTTAGAGTCATTAGAAAAAGAACAATATAGTTAATTATAGTAGGCATAATGGGCATTTATCCTATTTTAGTACTTTATAGAACTATATGTAGATAATAACATCAGTATTTTATAAAACACGTAATGACTTAATCTGTAGAGTGTAGTCTATATGTAATATATTGTTATTTGAAGATTTAGCATATTTTGGGGGCACTTTTAAAATCAGCATTTGGGTAACATTTGTGTAAGTTTTTCTTCTGTGCTACTTTTTGCATTTCATTGTTTTTTTTTATTTTGTAGGGTAAAGCTGACATTGGAGGGTCTGGAAGAAGATGACGATGATAGGGTATCTCCCACTATTCATCACAAAATGTCCAATAGCCTGGAGATATCCTTAATAAGTGACAATGAGTTCAAGTGTAGGCATTCACAGCCAGAGTGTGGTTATGGCCTACAGCCCGATCGTTGGACAGAGTACAGCATACAGACAATGGAACCAGATAACCTGGAACTAATCTTTGATTTTTTTGAGGTAAGCAGTTATTTCATTGAGGGAGTTGAGAAAGAACGCAGGCATAAGCTTATTTTTACATATATTTTGATTTTTATTTTAACCCAATTTGGGTAAAAGTCATGATTCATAAAACTTTTTAGAGGCTTACTGCTCTATACACTTTAGCAGGTTTAAAAAATTTGGAGTTGACATACTTAGGTATAGTTAAGAATATGGTTAAGAGAACATTAGCAGAATTTTTTTTTTTTTTTTTTTTTTTTTTTTTTTTTTTTTGAGACAGAGTCTTGGTTTGTTGCTAATGCTAGAGTGCTGTGGCATCCTAGCTCACAGCAACTTCAAACTCCTGGGCTCAAGCAATCCTGATGCCTCAGCCTCCCAGGTAGCTGGGACTACAGGCATGCACCACCATGCCCGGCTAATTTTTTGTATATATATTTTTAGTTGGCCAATTAATTTCTTTCTATTTGTAGTAGAGACAGGGTCTCGCATTTGCTCAGGCTGGTTTTGAACTCCTGGCCTCAAGCAGTCCGCCTGCCTCTGCCTCCCAGAGTGCTAGGATCACAGGCGTGAGCCACTGAGCCTGGCCCCAGAATTGATGACTTGATGTCAGACCAGATGACTTGATGTCTGTATCTATTAAACAATCTAAATATAAATGAAAAGTATCCAAAGGAGCCTGTAAGAATAAATGGAGGTCTGGGCAGGTTGTCTATCTTGGTGGACAACCTGATATAAGTAGCATGATTGAGTCATTGCCTTGAGGAAAAAAGTCTTCTGTTGTTTATCAAGGTGCTTTATTATGAGGATTCAGTGTGACAATGGACTTATTTTGCAACTTTACTTCATTTGTGTCGGGGAGGGGTGTGGGAGAGAGTGAGTGAGTGAGTGAGTGACAGACAGACAGAGTCTGTTGCCCAGACTGGAGTGCAGTAGTGTTATCATAGTTCACTGTAACCTCAAACTCCTGGGCTCAAGCAGTCCTTCTGCCTCAGTCTCCCAAGTCGATAGGACTACAGGGTTGTGCCACCAAACCCAGGTAATCTTTAAATTTTTTTTGTTAGACAAGGGTCTCACTATGTTGCACAGGCTGGTCTTGAACTTTTGGGCCCAACCAATCCTTTCACCTTGGCCACCAAAAGTGCTGGGATTACAGGCATGAGCTATTGTGTCTGGCTTGATTTTATCAATATGTAATAAAAAGTTATAAAACACATGCCAGTTTGTTCAGAATGTGAGCTGCCAACTTTCTGGAGCTACTTGTGTTAGTTATCTCACTGGCTGTTCAGATGCTCCCCTTACTGCAGTACTTGGTACCTCCCCTAAAGTCCTAACTGCAGTGTGCCTGGCTCAGCAGTTATGTGCACTTTTGTTTGTTAGCCTCTAGCTAGCTCTTCCGCCACCTCCACTCCCATTTCCACCAGATTAGAGTTTACATCTTTGAGGGTAGGGAACATGTCTTGATCAGCAGGAGCACCTAGCCATAGTTTCTTGAGAACAGCTTAATTCAGGGTGGTTTTAAACCTGTGGAGTGAACCCTGTTACATATAGTAAAATTATTGTAATCTTTGAGTTTAATTTGATGATGCTTTTAAACATCCTTTGTGAATTGCTTTTTGGCTACCTTGCATTGTATGAGATTTAAAGTTTTTTTTTTTTTTTTTTTTTTTTTTGAGACAGTGTCTCGCTTTATTGCCTAGGCTAGAGTGAGTGCCGTGGCGTCAGCCTAGCTCACAGCAACCTCAAACTCCTGGGCTCAAGCAATCCTTCTGCCTCAGCCTCCCAAGTAGCTGGGACTACAGGCATGTGCCACCATGCCCGGCTAATTTTTTTCTATATATATTAGTTGGCCAATTAATTTCTTTCTATTTATAGTAGAGACGGGGTCTCGCTCTTGCTCAGGCTGGTTTCGAACTCCTGACCTTGAGCAATCCGCCCGCCTCGGCCTCCCAGAGAGCTAGGATTACAGGCGTGAGCCACCGCGCCCGGCCGAGATTTAAAGTTTTTCCTCTTAGAGTTTACATATTTGTAAATCCAAAGATCACATTTTTTAAAAGCTACAATTTGATTTTACCTAAGAAATAAGTCTATGGGACTTCATTATAAAGATAAATTTTGGTTAACATTTCCGTTTAGGATCTAACTTTTAATAATCTCTTCAACATCCTAAGTTCCCTTTCATTTGGTTAGCATTTTTGATAATACTGTTTTATTCATAAACTAGGCTGATAAAAAAGCCAGTGTATTCTCAAAAAATGAGTATTTGGTTTCCTATGTGCCACTTGTATAGACAAATTTTTAGAGAATCTAATATACATTAAAAATTCAGTACAAATATACCTTAGTCTTACAATGTAAAAGCATTTAGAAATATGTAGGCATTGCTTTAAATTCACTCAATGTGTATTAGATCATAAGTGCAAATCAGAATTGTGATTAATAAGGTAATATATTAATATAAAAATCAAAATATATTTTAAAAGAAAATATATCTTTTATTATAAAGAAGCCATCTAAATTACCTGAATATAAGTTTGATTATATTTGTTATCAGTCCTCTTCTATGGAATGAGACCTCTTCCATGGAATACCTTAATGAGTTGACATTAAGGTATTTTTTTGATATTTAAATTGAAAATAATGTAAGTTTAAGAATTAGGATTTCCTTCTGAGTTGGCTGTGGTAAAAAAAAAAAAAATTAAAACACTTAAGTTCTTAAAAAAAAAAAGAGGATTATTTTAGACCTTATTTTTTTCAGGAAGATCTCAGTGAACATGTAGTTCAAGGTGATACCATTCCTGGACATGTGGGTACAGCATGCCTTTTATCATCTACCATTGCTGAGAGTGGGAAGAGTGCTGGAATTCTTACTCTTCCCATCATGAGCAGAAATTCCAGGAAAACAATAGGCAAAGTGAGAGGTAAGTTTGGCAAAACAGTGGTGAGACCTTTTACAAATAAGCTAAGGTTAAGTTAGAATTTAAGTAGTTTCAAATTGGGAATGGTAAAGATTAAATTAATAATTGCCTTAGATTATTAACTGATATAGCAATTTTAAGGAGCATATCAAATTTTCTAGGAGCTTTACCTTGAATCAGTTTTGACTTATTTTTTTTTCTATTTGATAGCGATTGATAAGGCTGGTTTAAGTGTAATTTAAATGTATTTGAATTCATAATGGCCTCTTTACTCATCTTTATCTTTGTCCTTGCCTTTTTTTTTCCATGACAGTTGACTATATAATAATTAAACCATTACCAGGATACAGTTGTGACATGAAATCTTCATTTTCCAAGTATTGGAAGCCAAGAATACCATTGGATGTTGGCCATCGGGGTGCAGGAAACTCTACAACAACTGCCCAGTAGGTTGAATATTTGAATAGGGTTAGCATGCACTAACTTATGTTAGGTAAAGTCACATTGGTTTTACCTCCTAATGGTCAAATGCTTTTATTATTACCCTGGGAATTAAAAATAATATGATAATTAGAGTTACTATTTGAAAATAATTAGAAACTAACCCTAAGATTCTGCTCTGTCTGTATAATATTCTACTGAATTGGTAATGAGAAAGAAGTTAAAGGTAGAAAGTCAGGAGGGAACGCTTGATGCAGAAAGTTTTGTGGCATCAGTGTGTCTGTGTTGTGGTCCATATTTTTGGCGTGTTGCCCTATCTGGGTTTTTCAGTTTCCTCATCCATAAAATGGAAGTTTGGACAGGATTGTATAATACCAATTTAGCTCCAAGCACCATGGTTCTAAGAAAGTATAAGTAAACACAAGAAATATTAATTAGTTTATCTAGATCTCGACAGAATGATGCTGTCTCTTCTCAGCAGACAGATTCCAGCCTAGTGCAGCTGTCTTTCGTTCCCTTCCGGTTTTGTAAGTTTATCGAATTACCTGATCATTGCCACAGATTTTCTACCACAAATTTTAAGCTTACCGCATTTTATTTATTTATTTATTTATTTTATTTTATTTTATTTTTTTTTTGAGACAGTGTCTCACTTTCTCACCCGGGCTAGAGTGCCATGGTGTCAGCCTAGCTCACAGCAACCGCAAACTCCTGGGCTCAAGTGATCCTCCTGCCTCAGCCTCCAGAGTAGCTGGGAGCACAGGCATGCGCCACCATACCTAGCCTACCACATTAGTTTAAGTGATGCTGTGATAGCTTTGGGATCTTTGAAGATCATTATGATATTTTAAGGTCTAATAAAACAAATCAAATCACCACTTAAGAAAGAAGCACTCTCAGAACCCATCTTATAAACAATAAGTTTTCTTGCTTTCCATTCTTTTTCTTTTTTTTAAAGATAGCGTCTTCCTCTCTTGACCAGTCTAAAGTCCAGTGGCATGATCATAGCTCACTGCAGCCTCCTACTTCTGAGCTCAAGCGATCCTCCTGGTTCAGCCTCCCAGGTAGCTAGGACTACAGGTGCACGACACCACGCCTGGCTAATATTTTAATTTTTTGTAGAGATGAAGTCTTGCTATGTTGCCCAGGCTGGTTTTGAACCCTGGCCTTAAGTGATCCTCCTTCCTTGGCCTCTCAGCCTGCTAGGATTATAGACATGAGTCATTGTTCTTGTTCTTAATACAATTTCCATACTTCTCCCTGTTGGTATGTCAGTCTTTTCCCATTCCCCCATGGTCTGCCAATATTAAGTCATCTGGAGGCTTCACTGCAAAGAACAAGTTTCTATTTCATGCCATTGAAAAGGATTGTTTTCTTTAATTGGTCACTCTACTTGTCTCCAAGAAAAAAATCTGTAGTTCAGGGGAAGTATATGTTCTGGTATAGGATATGTGTATATTTAGCTTGTAAATGCTTGTAAATGCTAGAGATTATGCACATACCGGCCAACTGATTGCCACCATCATATTTTTGGATGGCAAAATTAACCTCAAAATAGAGAATAAGTACTATTTCCCATTGTTGAAAATATATCACAATTGGCTTTCTATTGCATTTATTTATTTATCTTTCCTATATTCTATGATAACTATATTTTTCTCTATTTTAGGCTGGCTAAAGTTCAAGAAAATACTATTGCTTCTTTAAGAAACGCTGCTAGTCATGTAAGTAACTATTCTTTCTTTAAACAATTTTGGATTGCTGAGGTAGAGAAATGTGGCTTGAGAGGTTTCTTCAGTTTGCATTAATAGTTTGAAAGGAGATTTTTTTTTTTTTTCGTCAGGGGACAGAGTCTTGCTGTGTCACCCCAAGTAGAGTGCAATGGTGGCATCACAACTCACTGCAACCTCAAACTCCTGGGCTCAAGTGATCCTCCTGCCTCAGCCTCCTGAGTAGCTAGGACTGCAGGCATGTGCTACCAAGCCTGGCTAATTTTTTAATTTTTAGTAGAGATGCGGTCTCGCTCTTGCTCAGGTTGGTCTCGAACTCCTGAGGTCAAACAATCCTCTCGTCTTGGCCTCCCAGAGTGCGAGGATTACAGGTGCCCCGCCCATAAGCATCTTTTTTTTTTTTTTGAGATCACAATTTTTGAGCAGTTGGGATAAGAAAATTCCCATTAAGCATTGGTTTTCACTACTTGAATGGTGTGATTATTTAGGTACTTTGGAACTAATGCTTATGGAAGGATTTGATGGTGCTTCTATGTGACACCTTAAAAAAAGTGTCAGTCTCAACATTGCATGCCAATTTGATTATGTTAAATTTCCGAACTCCTTTTTTGTAACCTATCATGAAGGGTTAGAGTCTTGTTTTTTAGTTTTTCATATTTAAAGCAACTGCAACTTGACATTTTTAATCAAGAACCTGGGTTTCCCCCCATACCCGCCAATTTTTTGATACCTGACCAGTCAGCCTCATATTCCAAAGTGAAATTAGGGGTAGAAGGGACGAATTTCTCATGTTTTTGTTTCTACCTTTTCTACATTGCCTTCCACATGCCTGATATGTTGCCTTTTAAAAAATAGTTCAGTGAGTAAATTTGATTAGTCACATCTTTAATTTTATCAGATTTATGAACTATCATCTATTCTAAGGCATAACTTTTTAAGTATTTTAGCCTTTCTGAAAGTGTAATAGGTTTTATAACTTAGTTTTGAGTCACGGTTTAATTGACAGCATTTCTCCCCCCCCCTTAGTGGTATATAAAATAATGATGTATTTTAAATTTATGGCATCTTGAATTATAGTAACTATTAATTTTTAAGTATTAATAGTTTTGTTTTTGTTTTAAAGAATAATACTACTCTATGAGTATATTGGGCTAACCTAAACATCATTTTCTTAGCTGTAAACATGTTATGGCCCTGATACAGAATTTTCTGGTTCATGCTTTTCACTTTTTTTTTTCTTTTTAAATCTATTATATACTTTCATATATATATATATTTTATTTTTTTTTGAGACAGAGTCTTGCTTTGTTGCCCAGGCTACAGTCAGTGCCATGGCATCAGCCTAGCTCACAGCAACCTCAAACTCTTGAGCTCAAGCTATCCTTCTGCCTCAGCCTCCCGAGTAGCTGGGACTACAGGCATGCGCCACCATGCCCGGCTAATTTTTTTTTTCTATATATATTAGTTGGCCAATTAATTTCTTTCTATTTATAGTAGAGACGGGGTCTTGCTCTTGCTCAGGCTGGTTTTGAACTCCTGACCTCGAGCAATCCGCCTGCCTCGGCCTCCCAGAGTGTTAGGATTACAGGCGTGAACCACCGTGTCCGGCCTAGGCACCCTGTTGACTAGAGCCAGTGTAAAGGGTAGAAACACATCCATGCATTCTTGTATAGTACTTCTGTGGGTCACGGTTAAAACATTACAGAGTTCTCAGAGCTTGTTTCCTTTGATTATAGCTTGCTTTCTTTCAATGAATGTACACGTGTGTATTAGTTTATTCCAAGCCTTTAACTGTATTCATAGGACAGAAAGGATCTGTTGTTATAGTTCAACAACTATAACTCTCAGCATCCTCATCTGTTCATACTTTCATTAGGAAATTTGACATATGCGTCATTCTTGTTACCTATTTCTGTTTTCTATGTCTTTTCAGCAGTATAGCTTCCTCATTAATTCGATAATGACATTGCTAAGAAAGGCTATAAAGTGTACTGTGCAGGTGCACTGGGGTTCAGAACTTAGAGGCTCTGCAGCTTATTCTTTTTCTTAGCTGATCTTTGAGGTTCCACTATCCAGCTGAGGTATACAGGGGCAGCAGGCAGCAAGGCAAGGGAACCCTGAGCTCTAGGCTCTTGTTAGGTTCCATTTCTGCTAATAACAGTAGCAGAGATGACACACGTTAGTGCAGTCTCACTGCTCCCGAGGTGCCCCGGGTGTTTTCATGTAGATCAGTTCCCATTTTTTTGCCAGGAAAAAGTTGCTGCACTTTTGCAAAAGAGAAAAATGATTATTTACAAGAAAAATAATCACTTTTTAGAAAAAGCTTGAAGTGAGGTGTAATATCAGGTAATTCATGAGGAAGTTTCATGTTTTTGTGTACAGGTCCATAATTAATAGTGAATGGTAAATTTTTTATGTCCTTGTAGTTTTAGATGTATTGTGTACCAGCTAATGTCTTTCAAATACTTCTATCTGTCAGGGTGCAGCCTTTGTAGAATTTGATGTACACCTTTCAAAGGACTTCGTGCCTGTGGTATATCATGATCTCACCTGTTGTTTGTGTATGAAAAAGGTATGTTGAAATTCCTTCATTTTAAATTCTAATTGTTAAGTACAAGGTTTAAAAACTAGAAAATTTGTTATATTACTAACAAAGGGACATTCCAGGTAGTTCCTATATCAGTCTGCCACTGTCACTATATTGAGGCAGGAGAGGAGAGAGGATGTCATAGTGTTTGTTTTCTAGGCTCCCATCTATTTCTGTTCAACCTTTTTCTCAAATTAATAGGCTAGTGTGATTTTGCTAAAGCAGGAAGAGCCACTGTAAAAAAAGCTGGAAAAGTGGTTTGGAGTCAGATGGTAAGGGGGCCTCAGTGAAGGGTTTAGACTCAAGAGCTAGGGAGATAAGGGAGATACGAAAGACTTTTTAGAACCGAAACGTCCAGAATTAAACTTCAAGACTAATGTTTTGGTAGCTGATATAATAGGAATGTCAGAGGACATAGCCTGGTGGCATATGGGAGCTGTGATGTGGGCCACAGACAAGGTAAGCCTGAACTGGAGTAGGGACAGAGAGAACAGAGAAGAGGGAGTGTTGGGAGAGACTCCAAAATGAGAGTAGAAAATGCATGTAATTAAAAAAATTGTAATTGTTGTACAAATGAGTGAGGATCATCCTGCCCTGTGAAAAGAATTCTAATTGTTATGCAAACGGATGGGGAACCTGTGGCTTTAGATCTTGAGTGTGACCTTTTGACTGAATCCAAATTTTACAGAAAAATCCTTTTAATAAAGGGATTTTTTTAAAAAGTTTGGATTTGTCTGAGGGGCTGCACGTGGGAATCTGGAGGGCCACATGTGGCCTTGGGGCCACAGGTTCCCCATCCGGAATGGTCCAGGTTATTTTTGCTATGGGAGAACTGTGCAAAGTGAAATGAGATGGAATGAAGTGGTAAAGGATCTTAGTAGCAAAGATTGAGATTAATGGGGATCTGGCTGCAATTTATTTCTAAAAATCTATGAGAGTTAAATAATATTACTGATCTTCTGTTTTCACGCAATTCTATCTTGCTCTGAAGTTGAACCTGAATGAGTTAATTAGGGAATGAAAAGTAATGAACGGTATATAGGCTGGGTTTTAATTTATCAGCTGGTATTTTTCTTTCAAAACAATTCACATTCATTGGGAAAAATATAAATTGTTTAGTAGATTATAAATTGAAAAATCTTACTTTCCATTTTCTCTTTGTTTTCACTCCCTTATGTTTAAGTTTCTTATTTATCTTTCCAGAAAAATTGTATGCATATACAGGTTCATACTGGTGTACATGAATGAATATGTATGTCATGGGTTTCAGTATGTTTGTTGGATTGATGATTTATTTATTGGTAATACCTTAATTCATTTCCTTAAGATAGAGGTGCCTTCAACAATGTGACATTTGATCATTCGATACAGCACTAAAACCTAATAGATTTACTTGTGGGAGAAACATGATAAGAGTTCTTGTTAAGTATTACTGCTTGTGCAGCTATTTTTAACCAAACTTAAGTTTAAAAGGCTTGGAAATGTTTAGAAAGTTACTGACATGAAACAGATGTTTGGTATGTTAAAAAAGAAATAAAAAAAAAAAAAAAAAGAAAGTTACTGACAGAAACTAATTATATTAATAGTACTTTCATGTTAATTTCCTAGTCATGTAACATAGATATGTGTTAAATGCATATAACATGACAGGAAATAGGGGGAATGACTGACTTCTGGCTCTGTCCTTAGTTGTGTCTTCTATGCCACAACTTTCTCCCAGCTGTTTCTGACACTCCCCACCTACACTGAAACAAAAGCCAGAATATAAGAGGTGGTAATAGGTAGCCACAGTGAGCCTTGCAGGAGCACCTGTCTTACCTAACAGTTATTTTCATCATTAATTCAATTGAGATGTTAGGCTTGTCTGGTGTAAATATTCTGTGATAATTTAGGGCCCATTTTCCTCTTTATTATTATTTTTTTTTAGAAATTTGATGCTGATCCAGTTGAATTATTTGAAATTCCAGTAAAGGAATTAACATTTGACCAACTCCAGTTGTTAAAGGTAATATTAGCACTTCCCTGTATATATATGGTAATATTCTCTTTGCAAGTGGGGATGACTATATATTTAACATCTGTAGTAGTATATCTTTGTTTGGTCTTCTGTTCTGTTTGGGAGAATGGGTTTGTGGTGATCCATCTGTCTTTTATGACAGTATCCTTGAATCTCATTGTTTTTGCATTCATGAAGGAATAGACTAGGTTATAAGTCTTTGTAGGCCGTAGGGGCTAGCTCTTCTTACTATGACTTTATATCACTATTGGATATAGGCCATTTATGGTATAGTTATTTATACATACGTTAATTTCTAGGATCTTTATATTTTGTATCATATAATTTTACATGTTTCCTCTTCCCATCCCTACTAGATACCTTAAAAATGTTCAATTAAGTTTAAACAGTTTTGTAGCTTTAAGAATTTTAATATTATCATTCTCTACTTTGGTGTTTGCATCGTGATCAAATGCACATATAAAATATATACAATGGTTAGTACTTATTAAATATTGGATAATTCTACATTTTATAGTCTTCTCTAACTTTCTACTTTTCCGAGTTATAGTTCTTGTAACCGTCTCCATAAACTAAGGAATTTTTCTTGATTGTATTGTGTGTGTGTTTCCTAGCTTGCTCATGTGACTGCACTAAAATCTAAAGATCGAAAAGGTATGTACCAATATGGAAACATTTTTTTCATTTCATAATTAGCATTGATAGGATTCTTAAAACCCATTTTTGCATTGGTCGTTTTAATGAATATAATACTAGGTCCTGTAAAAGGTATTTTTAGAGATGTGAAGGCCTTATATTAATTTTCAACCGAATATATGCCATTTTGTTACTTTGTTTAGCTTGATCAAAACTCTGTAATTTTGTACCTATCAATCCTCTCCAAAAATTCTTATTCATTACAAAGTGGATTATATATCAAATATAGAATCCACCTTCAGGGCCAGTTCGACCCAGCTCTATCATTTACCACCTATGACGTTAGGCAGGTTACATAACTACTCTGTGCCTCACTTCCCCCAGAGCTTGCTCTGCAGACCATGTCCTTTATCATTTCACTTTGCTTTCTACTTCCATGGAGTTTAATAAGTGGTACCATTCATTTGAAGCTTATTGTATGCATTTTTAAGCAATTTATTTTTTTATATGTACTGTCTCTTCAATAGAACATAAGCGTCGCAAGGATAGGAAGTGTTTTTATCTTCCCAGTAAATTTTATGGTGCCCTACATATGTTAGGTACTCCATAATTTGTCTGTAATTATGATAACAGTACAGTTTGAATACCTTTATGAAGAAATTGTGAAGTGCTTAAAATTAGACTTACCCAGAGCTTAAATGTCCTGTATATGCTTACAGATATTTAATGATTATTAATAGTAAAATGTATTTAACCTTTAATTTATTCACCAGGAAACTTTTACATGCTTTTAATCTTTGAATTTGTAATATATATATGGTTTTGTTTTTAGAAAAACTTGATATTTTAATTTTTTTTTCTCTTTTGGAAAAACTCTTCTGTGCCTTAAGATAATCTTGGTTAAATGATTATGGTAATAATTGCTAATTATTAAGCTGATTTTGGTATTTCACACAGAAGTCTTAGCAAAATGACACAGCTCTTAATTCATTGAGAAATAACAAATCATTGCTTATGACTTCTTTTTAACCACTTTGGTACGAGCATCGACTATAGTGGATAACCACAGATGAACGTGCACAGCCGAGCGTCGGTCGACTTTAGCTGATAGCTGGCATATCAACGCGCACAGCTGAGCATCAACTTTAGCATTAATAACAAAACTTGACTTTTCTAATTTTTCATTTATCAAAATAAAATTGAACATTTAAAAATAGCATAATAAAAACATACATGTATATGTTACCTATTCTGATTTACATTACAAGTAAAGTTGCCTGTAAAGTAAAACAAGCTTTCAGTGCTTTAAAGCTTTCCTCATCACACAAGAGCAAAACAGATTCGTTGTCAATGCACAGCACAAACTATCGTGTGGACTGAGTGCTGGCTGTGGGCAAAGTTTCGTGGCTGGTGAGCACTGTACCGAAGTGGTTAAAGAATACTGTATTATAATTTTTATAAGAATAATTACTCTTGAAACTATAGACTCTGGTGTTTATATTAAATGTTTCAAACTAGTTTTCATGAAAGTTTCTTATTTAAAAAATGAAGTTTTTAATGGTTAAAAGTAAACACAAAGAGCCTTCAAAAATGCTATTTTTGAAAGAGTTTCAAAATTATTCAGCGGTGGGCTTGTGCACTCTCTCCCTCTTTAAGGATTGAGGAAAAGATTTTAGTGATATAGTGGCATTTACTGAGTTTTTGTATTTTAAAATTTCAGAATCCATTGTTGAGGAGGAAAATTCCCTTTCTGAAAATCAGCCATTTCCTTCTCTTAAGATGGTAAGTTCTTTGAGGAACACTAGGCCAAGGCCATCTACTTAATTCTGTTATATCTGAATAATTTATTTTGATCTCTTAAATGGATACTAAAGGCTGTGTGAGAGATATTGATATAAAGCATCACTGTGCATTTTAGAGAAGATATGTTCTTGTGTGGTCTGTCTGTGGTACTCTTTTTCTTAAAAGAGTAACTTATCTGCTCAAAGAAATAAAAATAACCATCTCAATGGGTTCATTTGATAAGAATAGCAAATTCGTGTATTTCTGTGCATAAAAAAGGAAGGAGAGGACATGGGTGGGTGGAAGATGTGATAGTGGGAGAGGCATTTTTACAATATTTAAAATCGTTCCCTAGCTTTTGGAAAGAAATGAGATTCTCCAATCAAAGAAATAAGTATCCTTGTGTAACTTAAAATAAGACATAAATTTCTAGAATTTACTCTGAAAGAATATAAGCAAAAACTAGCCATGGAGACTTAAAAATTAGACAAAATTCCTACCTGAATCCTTTTTCAGTATCAGGAAAGCCCACATAGATGCCAGAGAAATTCTGGGTCTACTTTTGTTCCATTGGTCTTTACTAAATTCTGGTCATCTTCACTGTCTTTTTCTGATAATGTCAGGTGCAGTGAATTTCTTCAGCAAAAATAAGTCATTTTTCGGCCGGGCGCGGTGGCTCACGCCTGTAATCCTAGCACTCTGGGAGGCCGAGGTGGGCGGATTGCTCAAGGTCAGGAGTTCAAAACCAGCCTGAGCGAGACCTCGTCTCTACCATAAAAATAGAAAGAAATTAATTGGCCAACTAATATATATAATATAAAAAAAAATCAGCCGGGCATGGTGGCTCGTGCCTGTAGTCCCAGCTACTCGGGAGGCTGAGGCAGGAGGATCGCTTGAGCCCAGGAGTTTGAGGTTGCTGTGAGCTAGGCTGATGCCACGGCACTCACTCTAGCCTAGGCAAGAAAGCGAGACTCTGTCTCAAAAAAAAAAAAAAAAAAAATAAGTCATTTTTGTTTAACATGATAAGGAAATGTATGTTTGGGAGAGAAGCTTATTAGTTTAGTAGTGTTTCTCTAGTAATTTATTTGGTTGCTAAAGTGGATGTGTGTATATGTATGATTTAGACAAAAAAGTGACAGTAAATAATCTATAATGAAGGTATTTTGTTGAAATATTTAGGTATTTATTACCTGAGGAAGACTTTATAAAACAATCTAACTCATTAAAGAAAATCTCAGAGGTTGAAGGTAAATGAAGTATTGATTATTCACTCTGCAACAAGGATGCTACCAGAGAGCCCTTAAAATGAACATTTTCCTCATGCTTTTGAAACATGATTTGTATAATTTTACAGATATTTATGAAGTTCAGCTAAGTAGGAAACTAGTTCAAAACTCTAAAAATCATTTGTTTCTTAGAGATTTAATGATTCCCAGACTTTGAATCATAGAACAAGACAATTTTTTTAAATAGTATTAGAGGTTTGATAACTTTCATTTATCCAAATAAGCTAAACACACACACTCACTAACTCAGTCCCTTTGCTGCCACCATCTATTAATCATAAAGAAATTTTAACAGTGAGAAAACACCAAATATCTCAGTGGAAAGCCAGTCTTCCCACAGATTTGATGTTTAACAGTGTCAACACTATTATGTGCTATTACCCTTATTTCTCTAATTTTGCATCAGTCCAATAAAAGCATGGTGACAGGTGTGTTAAATAAGACTTTAGATACAGGAAAAGAAAGTGGAAAGGCCCTGCAAAAACTATTTTGGGCACTGTACCTTACATGCAGCTGGTTTAGTATAAACCCAAGGCTGGACCCAGGTAACCCAATTTGCGGGCTGTGTTCTTACCACCATACTATTCTGTTTGTATGCATTTATTTGCATTATAAAATCAAATACCATATATATTATATATATTAAATGATTTTTGAGCCTCTGTGTAATCTTTCATTTGGGATACATCTTTTCAGGGGGTACTCAACATGATATTAAGCATTATCATCATCAAGACAAGCTAAAAATCATGGTTTCTTATGTAATTAAATCCTAGTAGATTGACATACCCAAATGCAATTTGGGAAATGTGTCAGCTGTCATCTTGAATTCATGATGTTGCCTGTCTTCTTACAGCTTGCTTTAGATGTTCAGTAGTGGTGAAAAGGATTTTAGTTAAGGATTCATCTTGGTGGTAGTGATGGTGACTAGTTATCATAGATACTCCCAAGACTACTGCTTTTGCTGTTTAATTTCTTTTGACTTTCTTATTGAATATAGTAACCACCAAACAGGTTCTTAGTTTGAGTATTAGAAAAAATTAGTGATTTATGCTGAACACAGAAAACATTTTTATTCTTAGTAGTGATGTATTCTTATTGATTGCTTTTTGTAATAATTGTGTTTTCTTTGTTTTCTTGTTCTCCCATCCATCTCATGTTTAATGAAATTCACCACCAACAAACAAAACTCTAGGTTTTAGAGTCTTTGCCAGAGGATGTAGGGTTTAATATAGAAATAAAATGGATCTGCCAACAAAGGGTAAGTAATTTTCTTATTCCCATCTAAAAATAGGTTTTAAACAATTTTCTAAGCAGTTTTCTGTTGCATAGCAGTAGCTAGTAATAGTTACTCAGGAAAGGAAATTGCTATAGTTATGTTATAAATCACTCCCAAATTTAGTCATTTATTTGTTCAACAAATATTTTTTGTAAAGCTGCTAAGGGGGGGACATTTTCTGAGTGCTGAAGACAAGTAGCAAACAAGACAGAATAAGGCCCTGCCTTTCTGGTACTTCTAGTCAGGAAAACAGCAACTAACTATTGAATGTAGCAAAGGGGGATATGTATAAATGGACAGGATGCATGGTGGAGAGGGTTGCTGTGGGTCGGCGGAGGGTGGGAAGTAGATAATTCAGGTTTCATGATTGGGCGTTTTGAACAGTATTCTTGAATTTATCTTGTTCTGAATAATCTGTAACTACTCTCAAATCAATCTGTTTGTGACAAGCTAGTCCTGGTTAAGATAGTAACATTGTAAATGTTCAACCATGTGCTCTTTTTAGTTTTCTGAACTTCTAGAATAATTTCAGTGACCATAATCTATAAAACATGTAATATTTGAATGTCAATAGTGCTGACTCTTGGTGTCTTGGCTGTATTTATTGAATTATTTCAATTATTTTCGGGAGTACTTGATATACCTAAGACCCAAAGAATGAAATTTTTAACTGGTAATTCATAATTAAGAGTTTTTTTGTGAAGTGTCTTGTAGCTTATGAAGATAAAATCATAGTAGACTAAATTTCTATAGTTTTAGCTTTTATTGTAACTTTAATAAAGCAAAAATCTGTTGATGGTATAATTGCTTGCTTTTTGTGAAGAGTCTCTACAGCTGAATTATGATTGCTGTGCCATCACTAAAATTCTGTGTGATGTTGGGCAAGTCACTTTATCTTCACAGGTTTCCTCATTTGTAAAATACTTGTTGGACAAGGTTTTTTTAAACTGTGATTTTTGCATGCAATGCCTTTCATTTTACTTTTACTTTCACATAGGATGGACTGTGGGATGGTAACTTATCAACATATTTTGACATGAATCTGTTTTTGGATATAATTTTGAAAACTGTTTTAGAAAACTGTGGGAAGAGGAGAATAGTGTTTTCTTCATTTGATGCAGATGTTTGCACAATGTGAGTAATACTCAGTATTGTTCTCCTATGGTGTTGGAATGTATCTAGGACTTAAGACACAAGTGGTGGTTGAAGGTGGGGAAGTTGTCTGGCTTTGCCCTTGCTTTGTCCTCTCAGGTTGTGTGTATTCTCATGTCCCTTCATCCCTGCTTGCTGGGTGCCCTCTACTGCTATGAGGGCCATACCTACTGGGTCCTAGTGCCACACACTCTGTGTTTATACAGGCACGTCACATTCTTCTTACTAGATTGTAAGCCCTTGAGGGCTTTCTCACTGACCAGTTTTGAGATTATTTTAAGTCTCCTAATGAAAATTTTAAAATTTTTATTTTTTGACTGAAAGGCAACACGTCTTAATGGTGGTTGTGTCTGAGTAATGGGATTATGCTTTTGTTTGTTTTCTTTATACTGTTAGTATTTTCTAAAATTCCCAAACTGAGTATTACAGTTATCTCCCCAATGAAAGGTATTTTTTTTAATTGTCTTTTTTAGGGTTCGGCAAAAGCAGAACAAATATCCCATATTATTTCTGACTCAAGGAAAATCTGATGTCTACCCTGAACTTATGGACCTCAGATCTCGGACAACTCCCATTGCAATGAGCTTTGCCCAGTTTGAAAATCTACTGGTAAGTTAGGTTTGAATTTTAACTTTTAAAATTTTCTTTATTTTTTAGAGCAGTAGTAAACAAGGTTTCATATTACTTTAAATATCTGATGGTTAAGATTTTGACTAATGTATAATGAGTAAGTAGCTCTACTTAAAAATGACAATATTAGGTCTTAGAATGCAAAACAGTTAAATGTAGGAAAGTAAAAATTTTCTTGCAGGCCTACATTAAGTTTTCTAGTTTAGTTTCCTGAATGGATTTTATGAATCATCTCAAATGGTTAAATTATAAACTTGTTTTGATAGAGCATTCCATTAATAAAATTTTTTGACCATGCATTCAATATCTGTATGTTTATATATTGCATTACATTACTAATATATTACGAATATATATATACATGTGAAATATTAAAGAATATGATATAGGACAAATTAGGATGGAAAAAGAAAATAAAAAAAAGAAAGAATATGATAAAAGAAATGGGCAGAAAAATTCTAAAAATTTCTTTTCCTGTGTATTCTGCTGTATAGAGCACTCATCTACAATGTGAGCATGTAGTATTTATAGTTAATAGGCTACTTTTTTAATGAACAACTAATTTTTCTTCTTTTAGGGAATAAATGCACATACTGAAGACCTGCTCAGAAACCCATCCTATATTCAAGAGGCAAAAGCTAAGGGACTAGTAATATTCTGCTGGGGAGATGCTACCAATGATCCTGATAACAGAAGGAAATTGAAGGAATTTGGAGTTAATGGTCTGATTTATGATAGGTATTTGTTTTTCATGAAAAATTTTCATGGAATGTTAGAAAAAGTGTAGTTTTCATCTAATAAAATTAAACTTAGTTAAGTTAAAATTCTGTAGTTCAGCCTGAGGTTTATCTTGCCATTTGTCAATGGGTTTGTTTTAAACTTCGGAATCACTTGGAAAGCTTGTTAAAAATTCAGATGACTGTGCCTCCCCCACATGTACTAAGTAATCTGTGGGTAAGAATGGCTGCCTTCCTCCAGATCTCTTTTTGTCTACACCAGTTTTCTCAGTGATCTCATCGAATTCTGTTGGTTTTCATATCTTTATGTGTTCCCAATTTTATATATCTGCAAATCAGACCATTCCCCCAAACTCAATAAATTTTATATTCAGGTACCGATACCTATTCCTTCTACAGTCTTCCTCATTTTAGTGTAAATGACAATTTGTCTGTTTAGTTTTTCAAGGCCAAATTCTTGGAGGCTTCTGCTCTTTTGTCTCATATCCCAGATCCAGACATACAGAAAATCTTGTTGGCTCTATCTTCAAAATATACCCTCTGTCTACTCACCACATGTACTATTGTCACCTCATGTCTGGTGTGGATTACTGATGTAGCCTGCTCTCTGGTGACTGCCTCCACCCTATCTATGCTTAGTACAGCAGCTAGGAGCCTTTCCAAGCCTTTTCAGATCATGTTGCTGCTTAAAACTTGCCCACGGTTTTCTGTGCCACCTAAAGGAAAAGCCAAAGTCCTTACAAGGCCCTGTATAAGCTAATTCCTGTCCTCCCCCCACACATGCTTCCCAGCCCTCTTTCCCTCTGACCTTGCTGTTTACGGGATTGCCACAAACCTTCAATTTATGAAAAACCAAAGTATCTGTGATGCATAATAAGGCAAAGTACAATACGAGGTATGCCTGTACTGGGGCAGCAGCATACTGGGGGGTAAGTGATAAAATTCTCACAGAGCTGCTTTTAAGAGACTGTCCTTGGATTTAGTTCATATTAGTGTTTTTCCTATAGAGTTTTATCACTTTCTTAATAAAGCTTCCCCCCCCCCCACTATTTTGTCTCAATTAGTCTGGTTTGAAAAGGCAGACAATTCCTACCTGCCTTTTTAACTATTTGGCTATACTTGCATGAAACAACATGACTCACAGCTATTAAATAAATATTTCCAATTAATTTAAAATTAAAGCTTTAGGTTAGTAATTTGAAAGCAAATGTCTGCTTCAGCAAATCTTTGAAGAACGTATGTGTATAAATACAGATATATATTGAGGTGGAAATAAAGATAGCAAATATTTTCACACAAGAAAAGTGTTTTGTGAGATTATACCACGTATGGCTTTGTAGGGCATACAAATGTAGGCACATACTTGATCTCAAGGGCTTTACTTGGTTTAAGCCAAATGCTGATGTGTAATGGACAACAGAAAGGTGTGTGATATAACAGGTGTTAAGGAAAATCCTTCCTGTCTTGGAGCATCAAAGAGGAAGAATTGCATTGGAATTTTGGGCGTAGTTAAATTTGCTTTGACAGGATTTGGGTTTTAGGTAGAGGCAAGAGAGCCTGAGTCAGGGTAGGGCTGTGTTGAAGGTGTTGGAGGGTTTTGAGGAGACATCCTGGGACTGACTCCCATCATAGTCTGGTGAGAGAGGTAAGGTGGATTATGTTTGTTGTTAACCTCTAAAGGGCCATAAAAATTTTTTTTAATGAAAAAATTACATGTATATAGTTTAGAAATTCAAATTACTATAAAGTTTACAGTAAAAATAGCGGTCTCTTGTACCTATTTCTTCAGTTGTCCCTAGCCAAATCTTTTTTTATAGCTGATTCTCCTGTTTACATCTGTATTTCTTAAGTAATCTGCTTATGCTGTTATGTTTTTCATTATCAGATTTAGACATTATATAGAAGGTTTCAAATGACTAGTGAATTGGAGCTTTTGAGGCATTTTGGATTGGGGAGAGATTTGGTGACAAAAGTAGCTGTTTTAAGATTATCAAAAACTATTTTCTCTTCCCCTGCAAAGTCACTAAAATGCAGGAGAGTTTACATTTAAGTTATGGTTTTGTGATATATATTATCTCATGTAAACTACATTTGATTCTCTAATATTTTGTTTGGGGATTTTGCATTATGATAATGAGTAAGATGACCTTCATTGGAGATAATACTGGCCTCATAGAGTAAATTGGGCAATGTTCTCTCTTTATAAAAAAACTCTTTGTATCTGCTTAAATGATTTAAACAGTAACACAGTAACAATGCAACAGACACCCGAGTTTAAAGAACGTTATTACTGGTTTGAAATCCCTATGTGCCACTACCTAATCCCATTTTTATCTCCTCCCTCAGACATAGCCACTTACTAAATTATTCCTCTTAAAAATGGTATTAATCTTATTTCTATCTGTAAACAATATACCATTTAGTTTTGCATAGTTTAAGCTTTATTTGTACTTTTTAAACTTGTCATTATGTTCTTAGCATTATTCCATATTATTGCATATAGTTATAAATCATTCATTTTTATGGCTGTGGGATACTCCATGGCATATCTCTACCACAGTTTATTCTGCTATTTTACGAATATTGAGATTGTTACCAAGTTATTGCTATTATACACAGAGTTGCTGTGAACATCGTTGATCAGGTCTCCTAAATAAAAGTGTAGTTTCTCCAGGGCAATGACTGTTAAACCTTTTTGACCCCATTCCATTTTATATAGTAACTCATTACATAGTTTGGTATATCTACAAATATACCTGAAATAATACCTGAAACAACGTACCTGAAACGACATTCAAAAAGTAGTGCCCCTGAATGCTTCCTATTCGTGTGTGTACTTTTTAAATGCTTTCTGAATTGATGTGTGACCCACTGCTAGCTCAGTACAATCAGGTATCTGCTGTGGGTCAGGCACTGGAAATTCAGCAGGAGTATGGTCATCTGGAGTGGGCTATTCTGGATTTCCTGTGTAGCCTGCTGCCAGGTCTCAGAAGGGGGGCAAAGCACTATAATTCTGTCAGATAGTGTGGAAACTTATTCAACGCATGGTTCGGACAAGCCATGGTTTTTGTTTTTTTTTCTTCTGCTTCCCTTCTTTTCTCAGGTGTTTGAAAGACAAATGATATTTAAGGAACACTCTGGTTCAGGCTCACTAGGGCACTGTGTCCTGAGATTACAAAGCTGCCCGTGACTGGGAATACTGGGTGCTGTAGGCTTTTCTTTAAAAGAAGAACTGCTAGAGTGGCAATGGCCCTCATGGGGAGTGACCTTTAACATGCCTTCCCTTTAACTGGGACTTCTCCAGTACAAATTTGTCGACCTCGGTGGGCCCAACTACCACCCTGTGCCCTGCCATTCCTTGTGTTAGATCTTCTGTTTCCTGTAGCCGGTATCTTTTTCGCTCTTGGTTCACTATCATTTTTATAGAAACTATCCTTCAGCATCTTCTTAAGAAATGAGGAGGTCTTATAGAAAATGTTTTTGAGGTCATATATGTCTCGAAGTGTCCTGCTGGGCATAGAATTCTATGTTAGAAGTAATTTTCCTTTAGAATTTTAAAAGCATTTCTCCATCATCTTTACACTTCAGTGTTGCTGTTGGTGAAGCCATGTTTCCTCTATGGTAGCTTGGAGAGACTTCTCTTTGTCACCAGTGTTCTAAAATTCTATAGAGATGGGTCTTGTGGGTCTGGTTTCACCCATTGCGCTGGACACTTGGTATCCCTTTTTAGTCTGTTGATGCATAGCCTTAACATGGGGAAATTTATTTCTTCATTTTTTTATCTGTTTCACTCTTCCATTTTTTTCTTTTTAGAAGTTCTTTTGTTTGAATCAAATACCTCTTGGACCAGACTTTGAATTCTGTTCTCCTATTTTCTTTGTCTTTTGCTCTACTTTGAAAGATTTCTTCAACCTTCTACCCACTCTGTTAAGTTGTGGGTTTTTAAGTTCAGGCTGAGGTGAGCTATGATCACACCACTGCACCCCACCTTGGGTGACAGAGCAAGACCTATGTCAAAAAAAAGAAAACAAAAAAGAAATAGGGCATTGGCCTTAGGGAGAACACAGAAAGGGCTGGAGGGCTGGGCTGGACTGGGGAGGTGGCGGGTGGCCTAGTAAAGCCAATAGCAGGAGGAGAGGCCCCACAGTAGGGGAGAATACCAGAGGAGATGACAGTGGTCTTGAGAGGTAGGGCTCACAGAGCAAGGGGAAGAAAATATGATGCAAGAAGAGACTGGAGAGGTAGGTTGGGGTCAAATTGCAGAACACATTATGATTTTGACTTATCTTAAGAGCAATAGGAAGCAGATGAGGTGGTTTAATTTATTTATTTTTTTTTTTGAGACAGAGTCTCACTTTGTTGCCCAGGCTAGAGTGAGTGCCATGGTGTCAGCCTAGCTCACAGCAACCTCAAACTCCTGGGCTCAAGCAATCCTCCTGCCTCAGCCTCCCAAGTAGCTGGGACTACAGGCATGTGCCACCATGCCCGGCTAATTTTTTCTACATATATATTAGTTGGCCAATTAATTTCTTTCTATTTATAGTAGAGACGGGGTCTCGCTCTTGCTCAGGCTGGTTTTGAACTCCTGACTTAGAGCCATCAGCCCGCCTCGGCCTCCCAGAGTACTAGGATTACAGGCGTGAGCCACCGCTCCTGGCTCTGTTGAGTTTTTTTATGTCTGCTATTGTGTTTTTCTATGAATGCACTTTTTTCCTATATATATAAAACATCTTGTTCTTGTTTGATGAAATTACTATTTCTGAGAAGTCATTAGGATTTTTTATTTTTTGGTGTTTTTGGGCTTTTATTCTCTTTGCAATCTTCCATATTAGAAAGAAGCTTTTCTCAGATGTTTATAAATCCTTGGCTGTTCCTGTTCTAGGGAATTGGGATCTGCAGAGCTGGTTGGAAGCTCTGAGTGGTATGAATGAGGTTACTGACTTGAACTGTACTGTGGGGTGATCTGGGTGGCCTGTAGGGTCATACCTCTGATGCCAGTTGATTTAGAACTTTATTTTTTGGCTGGTCAGATTTCTCATAGAAGAATCTATATATTTTACCTGGAGCGGAGGGTATCCAAGTCTGGCTGCCTGGGTTCTTGGAGTCAAGTGAGGAAAGAGAGCTGAGCCAGGGAGGGGTGTCATCGTATTTCATATTTGGTACATACGTAACTGTCTCTAAATTCCCTTCATGGTGGCAGTGGTGGTGGATTTGTAAAATGCCCAACCCTCATCTGGTCCTGTAGTTCACGTAATAAACCAGCAACGGGGAGTGGCGGAAGGGAAATGCTTGCTGCTGCCTCACAGCTTTCCCTTCAGCCTCCCTGTCTCAGCCTCTCTCCCTTTTACTCCCAGTTCAAGAGGAATTTGATGCTGCTTTTAACTCAGCCCTTTTGTTTTTCCTACTACCAGTTTGTGATTTGGCCTCTTCAGTTATGCTAATTGAAAATCTTTATTATCCATCAGTTATCCATCTTCCAAAACTTTGTTGCTTTGTCTCTTGAGTTTTTCTCATATTCATGTTTTTTTTAAGTTCCGTTTATTTTATTTTTGATGGTATTAGGGAGATAGTGAAGTTTTGTCCAGATACCTTGACCCAGAGATTATTTTTCATTCTCAAATACATGTCTTTAGCATTTTTTAGCAATAAGAAAAAAAATCAAATACATGTCTTTAACAGGAAGTCTTTGTTTTAACATACTGAATAGTAATATTTGAATTAATACATTTTTAAATCTTGTTTAAAAAATTATCTCCTAAAGATTCTCTTGTAGTGCCATATATAGTTGTCTGGCTGTCACATTGAGGCAGGAGAGGCCATCCTTTCTCTGCTGATGGGCAGCACAAGGGCTGCTGACCGTCATGTGCTGCTGTTTCTGAGCTCTTGACTCTGGACACACCTCCCATTATTGCACAGCTTTAGGGTAGCTGCCATACTGGTCAGCAGTCTTCTTATCTTGATCTTTGGTGACTTTGAAGGCAGAACTGGGTATGAATTCCAGCTCTTTATAGCTCTCCATTGGTAAAATAAAGCATTTATGATTGACTGACTTGGGGGGGGTGACTTTTAAGGATCACTAGTAAGGTACACATTTTCATTTTCTGATTCAATTGCTTTATAATCAGCTCTTACTGCATCAGAGAAACGAAACAGCAACACTGCTATTGTGGATTATTGGACAGATGAGGAGAAAATAAATTTGTAAAAATAAAACTGATGCTTTCATGTTTAAAACAAAACAAAAACTCTGTAATATGGATGTTCCAGGCATTCTGTAAATGAATTCTCGTGGCAAGGTGAAGTCAGCAGGTCTTAAGTAAACCATAACATTGCATTATTTTATATATTTTGTGTTTGTTTCATCATAGGATATATGATTGGATGCCTGAACAGCCAAATATATTCCAAGTGGAGCAGTTGGAACGTCTGAAGCAAGAATTGCCAGAGCTTAAGAGCTGTTTGTGTCCCACTGTTAGCCATTTTGCTCCCGCATCCTTGTGTGGGGAGTCTGATATCCGCGTGGATGCCAACGGCATTGATGACGTGGAGAATGCTTAGTTTTTATTGACAAAGGCCATTTGGGGGCACGCACCGCTGTTCTGGGTATTCATTTTTCATCATTGAGCATTGTATATCTATGCCTTTTGGGCTTCTCAGTTCAATGAAGCAATAATGAAGTATTTTACTCTTTTGCTACAGTTCTTGCAAGAATTTCAAGTATGCTATTTAAATCACTTGGCCAGGTATAATTGCCAGTCAGTCTCTTTACAGTGAGAAAATTTATTGGTTAGTAAATATTTTAAACTAAATATGTAAATCTATAATGTTAAACAAATGTTCATTAAAAGCATAGCACTTTGAAATTAACTATATAAATAGCTCATATTTACACTTCTTAAAGCTTTTCATTTGATCAGGTCTGAAATCTTTAGCACTCGAGGAAAATGACTATGCATAATTATACCTGACCATGAGAAAAATAAGTACCTCAAATGCATGCATTTGCACTGGTGATTCCAACTGCACAAATCTTTGTGCCATCTGTGTATATAGGTATTTTTTACATGGACTGACATGCACATAAACCATTTTCATTCAGTATGAACCTTGAGGCTGCTGCCATTTTTCCACTTGACCAAACCAGCCGGAAGGTGAACCTTAAAACTTATTTCCTAAATCTTTCAGAAGTTGTTTTACATAAATGTTAAAATTTTAAAATGCTGCAGGGTAATTTAATGTGTTAAATATTAGCAAGAAGTATGTATCGCATACTTACTAGAGTAGATCACAATGTATAAATTCAATTCAATGCATGCTTTAGGTTTTAAGCATGAGATTGTACACGTTTACTGTTAAGTCCTTGCATCTGTGGTGCTAGGTGAGTGTGAGAAGATGTCAAGGACTGGAAATATTTTGTTGCCTAAAAAAAAAAGCCTGTTTGTAGGCATTTAAATATGCTTATTTTAATGTCTCTCACTACCTATTACGCACCATTGCTCTGTGGGTTTGTTTTGTATGTGTTGTACAGTAGTTAAATCTCCATGCAGAAAAATAAATGTCCTGAATTCTCATATTGGTATCTTTATTGGTTGATATATATCATGCATGTAGTTTATTTAGAAATATAGAAGAACTTACTGAATGATTATGCATGTTCTTAGGATTAAGCTAAAGTTTCTTTCATTAGAAGCAGATTGTCTTGGCATAACTGTAACTTAAGGATGAATGTTAAAATGATACAGATTTATTTTCTTCATTATAAAATGAAATTTTAAGAAGGTGTTACTTTTGTAGAATCGTTTTATAATATTATGAGAAATAGAATTTCAGTGTCTACCCTAAAAGGATGGCTTATTTGCATCTACCTTTTACTGCATGTTTTTCATAAGGCAGTTTATTCATATATATACATATTTTGGTAGTAGCTGAGAACCTAAGATTGAAATTACTCATTGTACTTTTTTTTTTTTTTAAGCTAAGCAATGCAGTTTTGGTTAGATCTTAATTGTGTGAATTATAGGCTCTGAAATCCTGTGGTATTGTATTTGTAACACTGATACTCATGCAAGGGTTCTATATATTTTTCCCACATTGAATGAGATTTTCCAACATTTACGTGTGAATTAGGCACTTTTAGAAAACTCCTGAAAAAGAATGTTTTCTTCATCTGCAGACCTCTGTCTAATGCAATTACCATTTATTTGTGGTAACTTGATTAGCCATAGGTGTGCATTTCTAGTCGTGTTCCTTTGCTCCTTTCCTATGCCTTCCCAGTTCTAGCACCTTTTAAAAGACTCCAGGGCAGAGAGGAAGCAGATCATAGGGGAAGAAAAAGAGACAGAAGATACTATATAGTAGTGGTGAAATCTGGGAAACAATAAAAAAGGGACAGAAGAGAGGTTGAGGAAAAGACGGAGGTAGGTGGTACTTGGGGAAGAACTCGCTGTCACTGCTTACGATATGCAGAACTTGTTTTTTTTTGAAACAGAGTCTCACTCTGTTGCCTGGGCTAGAGTGAGTGCCGTGGCATCAGCCTAGCTCACAGCAACCTCAAACTCCTGGGCTCAAGCAATCCTGCTGCCTCAGCCTCCCAAGTATCTGGGACTACAGTCATGCACCACTATGCCTGGCTAATTTTTTCTATATATATTAGTTGACCAATTAATTTCTTTCTATTTATAGTAGAGATGGGGTCTTGCTCTTGCTCGGGCTGGTTTTGAACTCCTAACCTCGAGCAACTGACCTTTACACTCTGTTCCGACCCACTGTACCTATAGTCAGCCCTGGACATGCTTTGCTTCTGCAGCACTCCCTGTCTGTGTCCGTGTGTCCTTGGCCTGGGAGCTACTCCACCCCACCCCACAGCCACTTTCTCTCTGCTGAACTCATTTCTGCTCAAGCCACTGACCCTTCTCCGGAGCACTTGCTGAAACTCCTATAGAAGGGCAATCTAGTTTTGTGCTCTGGAGCATTATGGCCATGCCTTGACTATGCTGGGTATCACAGGGCCTTCTAGGTAAGTGTCCTTGATGTTTCTCTCACCTAACAAGCTGCGGGCTCTTCAAGGCAGGGACCTTGTCATACTCATTTTTATTTCCACAGTGTGTGGAACATATAGAAAATGAATGTTGGACTTACTCGGATAATGTACTTTGTATCAAATGTCCTTTTGCGTTAAGAGATTTACTTATGTTCACTAAGAATATAAACTGAATTGGTTTACATTTAGACAATTAGGAAGTATGTTGATGTCAATTTTGAAATGTAGAGGTATAATGTTAAATTATACTTTCTAGAAATCAAGTGAAATGTTTGATAAAATGCCACCATTGTCCTTTGGTATTTTCTACTCTCTGGAATTATGTACTGTGAATGATTGGATGTAAGTGTAAGGAACACCGCTCATTCCTGTGTGGGCATTGGCCCAAGGGCTGCTGCAGCTGGCTTCCTGCCACCCACTTACCTCACTCCCATTGCTCCTGTGACACTTGTCTCTTCTACCCTCCAAACTCCAAGCTTACGCCTACCTCAGTACTGCTTTCCCTGTCTGAAATGCCTTCTCTGCCTTCCCTCAGTGTTCGCTCAGGTACCACCTCCTCCATAACTCACCTCAGCTTTTGATCTGAATCATGATGGAAACAAAGGCAGACAGTCTGTAAATCTTACTCCTTAATTTTACAGCAGGGGCAATCCACCCAGAGAGGGTAACTGACTTACCAGGTTGGGACTGGAATCTGGGTTTTGAGACTCTTGAATCCTGTGCTCTCAAACTACGCTGGCTTCTGAAGTATGTGGCATTTGTTAGCATATGCTTTCTTGTACTGCAGCTTCTCATGTGCCTGTTATATTTCCCTAATAAGATTGTAAGCCCCTTAAGGGCAGGGACTGCTTTGCATCTCCAGCACTACTATAGTGTTCTACCCTTAGTTATGAACTACATAAATAAATGGTGGTGGCAACAATCCTAGTTTCCTAACTCAGATTGTTTCATGACAAACATATAATTTTGTATGGTGTGTCTGGCCACATTGTCTGGAGTGTGTCCACATGTGCATGTGTGTGCGTGTGTTTGTGTTTACATGTGGAGTTCTCGCTCTTTGCTGGTTGCGTGAAGTCACATTTGGTGGACTACCCTAAACCAATTTTTTGCTCGCTTCTGAATGAGAATTATGAGAACAGTAGTTATTATTTCATTGGTTAAATGGAAGATTAGGTACAGTTTTCCCCGTGGCCTGGCTTCCCTTTCCTGGGGGAGTGTACCTAAATCCTGCAGGTGGTGAAGAAGGAGCTGCTTTGGATAGGACTTGCATGACCCAGGGGACAGGCTGTCTTTCTAGTCCTGGTGGGTGACTGTTACCCTTTCTGCCTGGGTTCTTTGTCTACAGCTGCCTGGATTGTGTCTTTCACATTATTACTGGTTTGGTATTCTAAATTGATAATGGAGTTCTGTTAATTTAGATTTCAATATAGTTGATTTACTCCTTTGCATTTTAGGTTTGGATCGTGCTTTTGGGGTCGAAAGCAAATTATTCATATTAGAAATAATTGTGTTATTTTGCTATTCATGATTGGAAATTCTTTCAAATGTAATCTTTTAGTGGGCTTATATAGTTTGGAAAATAAATTTGAGATGTTTCAAATGCAATAGGGCATATGATTAGGAATATACCGTGCAAGTGTGTGTTGGGAGTAAGGAGGAGATTATGGATTGGAACAGTCAAAAGACTTTATGGAGCTCTCAAGCTCCTTACAGATCGTGGTAGAGGTCAGAGTAGTTGTGAAACCAGTTTGGGCCACAGCCCATCTAAACTGAGAGGTCAGGGTCATGTTCAGGGGGAAGAAAGGAACCATCCTGACAGTGGGGAAGATAATTATGAATGCCAGGTGGAATCTTGGCATCTGTGTAGGAGGCAGAAGTTTGTTAATAATTTTTAAGAAGGGAAATGACTGGAAGACAAGTGTTTTAATATAATGAAACTAGTACTAGTATAGGTATAATAAAAGGAGTGCTGTTGATCTGTCTAGTCCCCTACTAAGTTTATCCAGACACACCTCTACTTCTACCTATTTCCTCAGATGGAAAAGAAGTGTGGATGGGATGGGTCAACGTCTGAAACTTATCTGCAAAGCCAAACTGCATGTCTTCATAGGAAGAAAGCAATATCAGCATAAGTTCGGTGGCATCCCACACACAGTTTCAAATGTATCACTCTGCAGCTTGGTCCTGAGTTCCCCAAAGTTCCAGGTTTATACATCAGGCTGTGTCCCCATCTCAGCTTAGAGTTCTGATGGGCGTCTCACACTTAATGTACCTCCACAAAGCTCATCCTCCCTCCTGCCTTCCAAACATGCTCCCATCTTATCCTCTCCAGTATTCTATGTTGCAGTAAGCAACACAGATTAGAACAGATTTATATTATGTGATAGGGTAGTTGCCCAATTTTTTATTCGATTTTAAAAATTCTTCCAAATATTTTTTTTGTTTCTTGTTTCAAATATTTTCTATTATAATAACTTGAGAATATCTTTAATAAAGTGCCAGAGAGGTCTTCTTGGCATTCTGAACAGTGTTTAACTAATTTGCTATGTTAAAAACATAGCAGGGATGAATGTTTTGAAACTACATCTTTCTCTCCAGAACACAGTATGTCTCCATTTATTCAGAATTTTTGTGTTTTCCAGGAGAGTGAGTTTTCATGTGGGTGTTATATACTTTTTTCTTTTTCGTAATTGAGATGAAGTCTCACTGTGTTGTCCAGGCTGGTCTTGGGCTCAAGCGGTCCTCCCACCTCAGCCCCTGGAGTAGCTAGCTGGGTCTACAGGCTCATGCCACTGTGACTGACTGGTGGTTGTATGCTTTTTGAAGTGTATTGTTAGATTTTTAAAAACTACTTCTATTCATAGGTTTTTAAAAATTTCTATTACATTTCTGCAAATGCTTTTTCTTCAGTAATAAGCAATTTTTGTTTATTGATCTTATTTCTAGCTCTCTTGCTGACTTCAGTTAGGTAAACTATTATTTAAGTCTCTGGGATTTTCTAGATAATTGGTCATATTGTCTACAAATGCATTTTTCCTTCTGATTTTAAATATCTTTCATTTTATTAGTAGCAATTCTAAGCATCTTTCTTTCTTGATTGTCATGGGAATATAAGTATGATGGCTGAAATTTTCTAGTAGACAATCTTTAAATCTTCTATATCTTTTCTTTGGGGTGGAGGGTGCATTATGCTATTATCCTTGATTAGAGTGCCAAAGATCTATACTTTTTTTGTTCTTTAAACTAACTTTTAGTGTTCTTGAGCAATGTTTTTGCTATCTCATTAATTATGGCTGTTTAGTTTTTTAAATTTTACTTAATTTGGACTTATTTGGTACTTTTTCTTACATCTTGAGGTGAATCTACTTCAATATTAAAGACAGTTTTTGTTCTATAACAATGAAATAATAGACCTTTACCTTGGAGAAATATTGTTTAAATGGAAGTGCATTAAGAACTTTTATTTTAAGAAAAAGAATGTGTACTCCTTAGAGTTTGTATTTCTGTAATAATGGGACTATGCACTATATAAAATATAAACTTTTTCATGTTTTGGTAGTTTGAACTAGATTTCCCTATATTGTCATTCATTTAAGCATAACTAAAATATTTGCTGAGAGCCTAGGTAAAATCTGTAGGAAAATAAAGCAGCCTGTATCTTCAAGGTGCTCATTATTTCCTTGAGGCAATATATGTTTAAAAAAATAGGAGATAGTAGT